CTCTATAAATAATTAGGTATTAAAGTTAATTCCAAAATATTGTCTAATTTTTAGAAAACTAAATTAGTGAATAATTCGATAGATCTTCTCTTTGTGATATTCCACTAACATTTCATTGTACTTGTGTGAAAAAAGAAGTGAAATACAAAAATATTTCATAGATACGTTTATAACCCTAAATATATTTACTGTAGTTTAATAACTCTAGATCTCATAATATATTTAAATATTTTTAGATATTTTTTATATTTAACTTTTTAGAAAATTAAATTAGTGAATAGTTTTATAATTTTTCTTTTTGTGATATTCCAACAGAATCCACTTACAATTAGTGTGACAACTTTTGACCTGTCTATGACAATCTATCTGAAAATCTTTTAATTCCGTTTTAATAAACTTTTCAATGGAAAATAACAGTTTAATGACTTATAGTCGTACAATCCATAATCAATGGATCGAACAATCCATAATCAACGATTTGTACAATCCATAATCAACCGATGATATAATAAATAGGACTTTTGTTATTTTAATAGCATTTGTATTTTTTTAGCTTTAGCTCAGTTTAAAATGCAATTTAAAACATTTTATAATAGCCTAATATGGCCAGAAAATAATTTTTATTCAAAGTTCAAAGAGTAAGTGAAAGTTGTGTGTTGCGCGCACCAACATTTTTTTCATATGTTCCTAAGATTATTACTATTTTTGAAGAGAAAACTTCTATAGGCGCGTTTTGCACTTTTTTGTGGAGAGTGAATTAAATCCGTCAGTCTAGAAAGTCGGCTAGAATCGACTAATAGAAATGTTTTCACATATGGATTAAAATATATCAGAAACTAAAAATCCGATCTGCATATGGTCAGCAAGGGAATATTTCAGCATTTTATCCTCTTTGTAATAAGCTATTATTCAAAATTGTAACCTTAACAGGACGGCATGTTAGAAAGGCGAAAAGGAAAAAAACAGTGCCGAAAACCAAATGATAACCACTTTTATGAAAGACATGATTTAAAATATCTCAGAAACTAAAAAGAGTACATGCATACTATAAACGAGGGAAATGGATTGTTATAAATCATTAGATATATTTTAGACGTTTTTGCTGAATTCCCAAAATACTTTTTGTTGAAATGTGTCAAATAAGTTCTTATATTAGTTATATCTTAGTTTTCATTCAACGGATCCTGGAATCTCCTTTCTCCATCGGAAAGTACCTCGCGCCAACGACCGTCAAGGTCTTACTGTAATCAAAATGCTGCTGATGAATACAAAAATCAGCTGCGGTAACTTGAGGTTTTTGTACTTGTCTGGCAATTCAGTAATGAAAGCTATACTGAAAACGAGCAAGAAAATATCCCTACCTGTATCTAAATAAATTTATACCTAATGTATGGGTGATAAATATTCAGGACGCAATCATTATAAAGTTTTTATTTGTGCCGACGTTTCAACCCAAAGATGTGGATCATCATCAGGGCGTGTTTCGATCACTGAAGATATTCAACTATACGAAATTTAATAAAATACGAGTTATCAAAGAAGCCCCTATTTTATTAACGAGGTGTTACTTATAAACTCTCTGTTCTTACCTTTCGCCAAGCTCGATTGGCCGTTCGGGTTTATTCGGTTCTCTCCCATGAACCTAATTTCACTGTTTTTCCTTTAATTAATAATCAAATATTTTTATATTTTCTATTTAACCACTTTTAAATTTTTATTTTAATGAAATTTACAACTATATTACATGAAAAATACAACCGGTAAATGTGACATTGGTAACATGATATGTACAACATAAAGAGAAACTACCCATTGATAGAACTCAAATTAAAGTTCTATATTAGAAGGTCCAGAGGCCATCTTCTTTTCAGAGGCCTCGGAGGGTTATCAGGGATCGAGGAGGACGCGAGATTTGAAACGAGAGGGTTCGGATGGCTCTGCAGTTTGTTATGGAAGGATAGGTATCTGGATTGGGCCAAATCGGAAACATATAGAACATTAAGGTCTTTATCGATGATTTTATTTGTGACAAAGTAAGGAGCGTTAAGGATTTTTCGAAGGATTTTGGATTGTAAAGATTGGATACGAGAGAAATTCGATGGTTTAGTGGAGCCCCAAAGCTCAATTCCGTAAGTCCAAATAGGTCTTATTACGACGAAGAGTGAAGGTAATTTGATGGGATTTATTGGAATTTATTTTAATCCTCCAGTTTTGACACCGTTTTTCAAGGCTTGTGATGTGTGATTGAAGAGTTTGGGATAGATCGTTATTATCTGATAGAATACATGTACCATCGGCATAGGTGGTGATGACAGTGTTGGATTGGGTTGGGATGTCAGCTGTATAAACTGTGTAAAGGATACTACCTTATCGGACCTACGATACTACCTTGAGTTACACCGGAAACTGAGTAAAAAGAGATGAATAAGCATTGTTGTGATTGACTTTGAAGTATCTGTCAGTAAGGCACTTTTAAATATAACGTTGGTTACAATATGAAATGGTTAATTATTTCAAATAAAAATATTAACGTTACTTCAGAGGAAAAAGTTTTGAAAATTAGGCATTTAAGCTATGTTTGAGAACATAAATGAAAGTAAGACCTACATTATATTAAAAACTGCTTAATTTCACTCTGATATATGAATTTAATCAAAATCGTCCGAGCCATTTTCGAGAAAATTGCAGAAATGTGTAAAATCGATGATATAAAGTGGCACTTCTGGTAAGCAGATTTTGACGAAAAGAGGCTGTAACATCTAGGGGTGAGAGAAACGCCAAACATTTGAAAAGAACAGTTCTTGATCTCATGAACGAATTGATTCAAAACGAATGAACTGTTCTTCAAGACGGATAACAACAGTTGTTTTTTTTTAGTTCACCCGTTTGCCACTAGTCGAGTTGCTGTTTGATATGTTTTTTGTTTCGTTTTTTCCAAACGAAACAGTTCTTTCTGTTTTCCAACAAACCTATCAATTCATCATGAAAATTACCCAACAGTTTTTTTTTTTATAAGACATGTTTCTACTGTTGTGTTTAGGGATGTAATTTTTAGCTCTCGTTATTAATGTAGGCTAGGAATAAATAAAAACTTTCATTATAGTTACTACATTTCTAAATTAACTTAAGCATATTTGTAGGCAAAATTTATGTTTTTAGATGTATCTATATTAGTGTCTTGCAGACCGAAAATAATTTTTATGATTGAACAAATTCACGTAAATCAATTTGAGTGCATAAATAAGATTAAATACTATTATTGAAGGGAAGAATGGTTGGGGTGATCAGTAAAATAATAAAAAAATATAATATTAACTATTCAATTATTCACTGCAGTCAACCATTAATCCACAATTATAAACACTATTATGTTCTATAAAAATTTAAAAAGGCAAACAGTTGAAAACTTGTTTGAACTACATTTAAAAGACTTCAAGCAACGTAACTTCAAACTAAGAACAAAACTTGATTAAGAAATATGACATAACATTTATAACAAATTTGTTTGAAAAAGGAAACATTCCTAAGCTCAGCGCTGAGCTCATCGATAGCACCGGATCCATCTTTACGCTGGGCGAAAGTATTTCATCAATAAGCTCATCGTTGAGAGTTTAAGATCTTGTCCAAAATCACAACCACCAGATTAATACAAGAAAGTTAAAATATTATTAAAATAAAAAGTGTTCTATGCTTAAAAAATAATTTTCAGTTTTTATTAGTTAAAAGGTAATTTTTAAGATTAAGCATTCGGCTAATATTAAAAATAAATTAAAAGGTTATCAATTTGAAGCTCGAATTATGCCAAACTTTATACATTAAACGTTTCATTAATTTCCAGACTTGTCATTAAACGAATAGGTCTTACACCATGAATCGTTGCATTGTTCTAAGAACTATTTTTTTTTTTTTAATTTTGTTTTTTTTCAACGAACAGTTTATTTACATTTTTCAAAAGTAGCAGAAAAGCCCACCTCTAGTAACATCCCAGGCATTTAAATGCACCTTAAATAATTTTTTTTTTTTATTGATGATATTTACAACTGTATTACAAGTAAAAATACATTCAGCAAATGTGAACAAAAGAATATAATAACATGAAATCACTTGTTGAGAAACTACCCACTGGTAGCACTCTAAAAATGTTTTTACAAAAGGAGATCTCGAGATCATCTTCTTTTCAGACGCTTCGGAGGGTTGTCAGGGATCGAAGAGGAAGCAATGTTAGAAACGAGAGGATTCGGATGGTTCTGAAGTTTGTTATGGAAGGATTGGTATCTGCATTGGGCCAGGTGAGAAACAAAAGGAACATTAAGGTCGTTATGGATGATTTTGTTTGTGACAAAGTAAGGAGCGTTGAGGATTTTACGAAGGATTTTGGATTGTAAGGATTGGATACGAGAGGAATTCGATGGCTTAGTGGAGCCCCAGAGCTCAACTCCGTAAGTCCAAATAGGTCTTATTGTAGTCAAGTATATGAGTCTTTTGTGATTGACTGGGAGCTTGGAGCGTTTGCCTAGTAAGTCCTGTAGTAGTCGGAAACGTCGAGCTGTTTCTTGTCGTTTCAGTCTGGTATGAGGATTCCAAGTTAACGCTTGTCTAAGTGGAGTCCAAGGTATCGAATTTGTTCAATAGGGATAAGTGGGGTATTATTAAAGGATATTGTAGGACAAGAGCACATAGGTTAGCGACGAAGGATAAAGGTGATTTGATGGGATTTATTCTTAAATACTTAATATCGGTTTCGTATGACTTTTCGTTTTTGAGCTAGAATCTTCACATAAACACACAGACAGATCATTTTTTGGGACTTGGTTAATTAGACTCCAGGGACCTCAAAACGTGTAATTTAATTGAAAACTCAGATTAGAATATTTTCACGATCGCAGTACTTTTCCTTTGTATATCAGATATATATCTAAGTGAAAGTAAATATAGTCCTGATAACAGAGTAACCCGGAAAATAGACTCTTCAAGATGCCGCAATCTCGTGACGCAGCTTGGTGATTCCTGCTCAGTGCTGGCTGAGCTGGAGGGAGGGATTGGGTCCCGGAGCCGGCTGGAGGAAGAACATTCGGTCACAGTGGCCTCTGGAGAAAAGACTCGCTCGGATTGGTCGCTGCTACATCATGCGATCGGTCTTGTATTCTATCATACTCTCCATTTTAGTGATTCTCTCTCTTGTATTGATATTTTATTTCACCTTCGGAGGTGCCCAGGCGGAAGAACACCTGAGTGAGTATATTGCAATTTAGAAATTAATCATGCATATTGCGTAATAAGTGTCTTAGCGAGTAAACTATATTATTATTAATAGCAGATTTTTAATATGCGTGTAATATTCCATATTTTTTTATCTCACTTAATCAATCTGCAATTCATATCTCAGACTTATGATAAGGAACCTTCTTAATGTAATTATTTTTTTGTAAGATTTTTATATAATTATTATATTTAATAAATATTTTATTAAATGTATACAAATAAAAACCTTTTAATCTCGCACATTTTTCATTTTATTTATATAGATATCTTTTTAACAAGAATTATTATTTTATGTTTCGCTCTAAAAAGCCATATGTAAAAATTATTTCATTAAAAAAAAAAAAACAGTCATAAGATCATTATTTATGAATTATTATTGCTAGTGGACTGTTCTAGATATCATGGGTGATAAATTTTCAGGATGCAGTCTTTTTTTAAAATTTTTTATTTGTGCCAACGTTTCAACCCAAACATGTAGGTCATCTTCAGGGCTGAAAATTTTAAAATACAATCAAAGATATGATATTATACGACCAATAATGGTTAATAATAAACTATCGTAATTGATGGTACATGAATCTTAACTAAGATTACAATAAATATGTTTTTTTTTTTTTATTATTTCTTAATGGTATTTACAACTGTATTAAATAAATACATCTAGTAAATTTGAACATATGGATATAATGACATGAAAACTCTTACTGAGTAACTACGCAATGGTAGCACTCTAATGATATGTCTACATTAGGAGATCACGAGGCCATCTTCTTTTCAGACGCCTCAGAGGGTTATCAAGAATCGAAGAGGAAGCAAGGTTAGAACCAGAGGGTTAGGATGATTCTGAAGTTTATTATGGAAGGATAGATATCTGGATTGGGTCAGATCTGAAACATAAGAAACATTAAGGTCATTATGGATGGTTTTATTTGTAACAAAGTTGGAAGCATTGAGGATTTTACGAAGAATTTTGGATTGTAAGGATTGGATACGAGAGAAATTCAATGGTTTATTGGAGCCCCATTGGTCAACTCCTTAGGTCCAATTAGGCCTTATTATAGTCGTGTATATGAGTCTTTTGTAATTAATTGGAAATTTGGAGCGTTTGTCTAGTAAGCGCTAAGTAATCAGAAACTTTGTGTGGTTTGTAGTCATTTCAGTCTAGTATGATGATACACATGTTAAAAATGAAATATGTAAATAGTTGTACAATATTTGCGTTGTTTCTTATGGTTACAGAATTGTGACTATTGGGTAGTCACAATTATGTCTAAATGAACATAAGCAAGAGATGCCAATCAATATAAATATAACATAGTTTGATTAAAGTTATACAATGATTAGCCAAATAATATTTATAATAAAGACAATTGTAATGGATTGAAATGATACGTAGGACAATATATTATACAATATTTTAAGAAAAACAATGTTAATCATAATAGAAGTATGTATCATATTAAGGATTGTATAGTTTTAATAGTATAAGTATAAACATATCTGTGCCTGTTTATAGTATATATTTATATTGAGAATGGATATTATATGTATATATATATATATATATTGTAATTTTTTGGTTCAGTTCCTATTAGTTGTGTTTTTTAAAAATTGAAATGGTGTAGTTTTATACTATGCTACTGCTGTGCAGTTTATGTTTTTGCAATTGGAGATGTGATGAGATATTCTGGTTTTTAGTTGTTTAGATGTTTCACCATTACAAATTTTATGGTAATTTTAACAGTTGAATTTATGAATTAAGTATTTTTTATCTATTGAATCTATTTTATCTTTTGTGATGGTAATATATTTCCTTAGTTTTTTTGTTATTGTACTGTCCAAGTTTGATTTCTGGTAAGTCATAATTTTAAAAAATGTCCTTAATTTTGTTTGTAAGTTCAAGTATGTATGTCATTTTATAGCAAGCGTTAAAGTTCATTTTATTTATTTGTGAATTGTTATCTTGTTTGTATTGTATTTGTTTTTCAAAGAATTGGGTAATGATTTGTTGTGTTGGGTTTTTTATTGTACTGTATTCTTTCGGTGTTTTATGTGTTTCTTGGTTTTGTTATTTCGATTTACTGATGTATTTTGTAAGCGTCTATACCATAATTTCTCGATGAAGATTGACGGGTAAAAATTCTCAATTAGAATTTTATAAATTTCTGTTTTTATTTGGAGAATAAAAGATTTGTCAGTTAGTTCTAGTGCTTTATGTATTAGATTTTTGCCTGTGTTAATGATTTGATATCTTGGATGGTTTGAACTGTAGTTTAGAATTATATTAGGATAAAAGTAGTAGCTGATAGTGTAGCAATACCTGACATCCTCCTCGAAAAATGGGAATAATAAGATTTCACAACCTCCTAGAACTCTTATTTCATATATTTTTCGTTTATATATTTTCTCCTTTTATATTTGTCTACATTGCTTTAATAATTCCAGAAAATATAACAGAAATAATGAGTGGCAAATTAGGAAGGTCCCTCATAGTCCACTTAATGTCCCAGGGATAACCTGAATAATCTTTCATTAGGGGCACCCACCCACCATACTTTATGTTGGCCTTTTTCTCTTTAATTACTATGATTTATCAATAAATTTTTGCTTTATTTTTTCTTCAAGTGTTTTAGATTATCTTTTATCCTTTTTTAACTGCGTTGATGAAGGATTCAAAATTTATTGGGTGTCAGCTACTAGAGCCTTATAATGTGACTTTTCACCAGTTGCTGACTGGCCCTTACTCTCTTAAATTCAAAGAGATATACTTAATATAAAGGTATAAAAAATAAGAACATTCACTAATCACTCGTTAAAAAAAAAATGCTAGTGATTTGGATTAAATATAAAACAAAAATAGGTTTTCCTATTACAGAAACAGATTCTTCACTGTGACCAGTATTTATCGATAAATTGAAGTCAAGAAATCATATGACGTTAGTTTTATAATTAGTTAAAGGTAGTTGTTAAAGTCTATTTTAAAATTAAGATTATAAAATTTATTTTGCATATTCCTTATTCTCATTCCTGTTATCTATAGGAACATTCCAAATCAAATTGTTTCAGTTAGTGGTGCAACAAAACTTTTCTCTAAATACAGTTTTTTAAAATAATGATGAATGTTTCATGGATTTGAAATGTGCCTGGGTGAGGGGAAAAGTAGTTCTATAAGATGAATACTAGAAAATGTAATAACATCTATATTTGTGTTATTACACGTAAAAATTCAAAGAAATTCCCTTAAGCATACCAACTACCGGTGCATTTACCATACCCTACTAGTTTTTTGTTTTTGGGTCCATTCGGTGAGTAGCTGTCCTTCGTCTAAAAAATATCTCCATGTCTAGAAATCTGAGTTTGTTATTTATTGATTTTTCTATTGTGAATTTGATTATTTATTGTATTGGTTAAAACATTCTAATATTTCTTTGTCTGAGTCTTTCTTTTTTATTAAAAAAGGTCGTCTATATATTTTTTGATCAATAAAGGTTTTTGCTTTATTTTTATCAGTTGTGTTGTGATGAGTTTATTTAGGAAAATACCCCTTAGATCAGCCAAAATTATATTTCCCATCCCAACTTCCCGGATTTGTTTATAGTAATCATTGTTATATTTAAAATAGATAAATTTAGTGCATAAGTTGATACCTTCTAAGAAATTTTCTTTTATTATTATTATTTTAAATTACCAGATAGGCGACAAAATTTTTAATAAAGAAATCATTTTAATTGAATATCCTGATTTTTAGCTTGTAAAAACTGTTCTTATCTCTAGCAACACAACTACTTCTACTGAAGTGTCTCTTATCAAATGACTAAAAATTATTTAATGTCTACAGAACTTAATGCAACATGCAAAAATGAAAATCTTATTGGGATTTGTAAAAGTAAAGACTCGTGCCATAGCAGTCTACCAGGTGTAAAATTGGAATCTTGCAATGGTGATAGCTCTCTTGTATGCTGCCCACTTGAGGAAATTACAATATCTAAAGGCCACAAACGAACTCCAGGAGAAAAAGCAAAAGAAAGTATGTATAATGTTATTGAGGGTTATAAGTAATAATTTTTTTGTTAAAAAACATCTTATTTATTTTTTATTTTACCTCAACAACGTTTCGGCCAATACTACATGGACAATGTATAATGACCCAATTTTCTAATCACATCATTCAGGTTCGGTGCCATTTTCTTATAAGTTTTTTATAAATATTAGGCCAAAGGTCACCAAATGTATACAGTTTTTACATCCTGTATTATTTATTCGACGTTTCGGCTTCAAGAGCCATTTTCAAGATCCTGCAAACTAATTTTAATTCAGTTTTTACAGTTCAAAATACATCCTTATCAGACACATATTATTTAACAACAATCAGTAATATAAACAGTAAAAATTCTATTTTATAAAATTTTTTTTTATTAAATTTATATGATCTACCTTCCATGCACCGCTTCATAAAATTTCTAAAATCTATCATTACAATATAATTCGTTCTTTAGTCATTCTTTTATTTCATAGAATGTCGTTTTTTTCACTTCTAAAAAGTTGTAATAAATAATTAATTAATTAAAATAGAATGTTAAAAATTTTTTAAAAGGAATATTATTAGTTCTCGATTTATGTACCTCTTTCGCAGACGATATTAAGAAAAATGTTGCTCCTCACTAAGGCAATATATATGTAATTTGATTAAATAAACTTCTTGGGGAGATAGGAAAAAAAAAAATAAATAAATACTTATAATGACCTAATTACATTCCAGATCCTAAAACTACTTCCAAGGAAAGCCATTCATGTCCTTACTTTATATATATAAGATACTGTACTTCGATCCACATATTATCATTATTATCAAAATGATTCACAAACCCAAAAAGCCACCAGAATACCCATCCTCTTACTGACCTCTTTCCTTTTTACCCATCATGGGCAAAATCCTGGAAAACTCATCCTAAAACAATGTTAAGATGTCAGCTGTATAAACTGTGTAAAATATAGGACCTAGGATACTACCTTGAGCAACTCCAGCGGACTGGGAAAAGAGGGATGAATAAGCGTTATTGTGATTCACTTTGAAGTATGAACGAATAATGAGGAAGTATGTAGGATGTAGGAATTTAGGAAGTTTGTAAATCAGTCCCGGGTGCCAGACTCGATCAAAAGCCTGTTCTACATTGAGAAATACTCCTGTGCAGTACATTCCGCACTCCAATGCAGAGGAGACAACATCCACCGCACGATGCCATTGCTGGATAGTGGAATGGGATCTGCGGAATCCAAACCGGTGATCTGGGATTATGTGATTCGAATCTTGGATGGGATACATTCGTTTTCCAGGATTTTGCCCATGATGGGTAAAAAAGAAATAAGTCAGTAAGAGGATGGGTATTCTGATGGCTTTTTGGTTTTGTGAATCATTTTTAGATAGGAGATGGTTGGTTCGCTAATAAGATGAGGTGAATATGATGGATGGCTTAGCTGTAGTTCATAGTGATTATTTTGCAGGGAGCCACTGCTATTTGCGTTTTGGATTATTATACAGGACCCATTTTTCCTTTCATCGTCATCTCCGGTGATCAAGCTATCAAAAAATGCTTCTGTGTTGTGCCAGTGAAGCAATAAGTTGTATATGGTGGTTCCTCGATCTGCTGCAAATGTTCTCGGATGGTAGACCAAGGTTGGTTAAGACTGTATGACAATTCCTCGATTGTCTGGATTTGCTTTGACTTCCGCCCTTAATACGCCATTGTCTAATGTTGTTGGTTTTCCTGATCGATACGAGTCGGAAAGATCAAAATTACTGGAATCGAACTTGAAAAACCACCTTTGACATTTAGGAACGTCTGATGCATCATCTGGATGAACATCTTTTTGGTAACTGTTGCATTCCTACCTTACAAACTAAAAAATGTGCAATGCCGGGTATGTAACTCTTCTGGTAGTTAGTTGGCCATTTCACCAAAAATAGCTAAAAAAAATAATTTAATTTCATTATTTGCATCTGAAGAAGTCACTCTAACCTTAGAATACCTTTGCCACAACTTAGATGTACACAATGAGCTGCTAAATGACAATCAAATAGTGATATGCTCAGAAACAACCTTACTTTCACCTCCTCCTAATACTTCAATAATAAGTAATCTTCAATATCAAAAGTTTCTTATTTTTACATAAACAATTTTCGCAGTGTGCAAGATATATGGAGAGACAGCTTATAAATATGTTCCGAGCAATGATTTGTTTAACACAAAACCAATAAAAAGTAAACTATGTGACGGAGGTGTACCGCTTGTAAAAGGAGGGGAAAATGCCTCAGAGAATGAATTTCCTCATATGGTAAGTACTGCATTACATTAAATTAAGAAGCAGCAGAGGAGTTGGCCTTACTCATCCAACTTTTGTATTTTTTTTTTTTAATAATTACTAAAATGTATTAGGAAGCTATGTTAATAATATCTAGTATTTTATGCAATAGCATCTATTACTGCTTCATATATTTTATTATTTATAATTCATCGTATACGTTTCGGGGCTACACTCCCCATCTTCAGAACATTAACTTCTATTATGATGAACAATACAAATTTTAACATATTCTTTTAACTATTCCAATACAATAATAATATAGAGAAGTATCCTATCATTATAATTTATTAAAGATAGTAAGTTTCCAATTTATTGATTTTCAGTGACTTTACACCAATTTTTAATTTGGTCTACTTAGTGACTTCAAAATCTTATTACGACGTTTCGGCTCGTCGAGCCATTTTCAAGTCCATCATGCACCTGTCCATTATGCTTCTTATGTGAATTATACCATTATACCAACCCCTCAATAGAAATGAGACCGACAACATGTGGGTTAACACATAATAAGTTAAAGGTAGACATGACAATCGTGATACTAGTTATTATGAGAAGAAATATGTAATTCACCTAAGAAATATAATGGACAGGTACATGATGGACTTGAAAATGGTTCAACGAGCCGAAACCTCATAATAAGATTTTGTAGTCATTAACAAGAATCTCTTTTGCCTTTTAAGTGATATGGTTTATCGTTGATATCATTCTCTGATTCTACAAAATTGAAAATTCCATAATAATGATAATACAATTAATAAAGCAAATAATTAAAATTATTGAAATTTTTAAGGCACGGATTGGCATCTTTAATAGTGATTTAGGGAACGTGGAATGGCGGTGTGGTGGAAGTATAGTGAGTCCGAAATTCATTCTTAGTGCAGCCCATTGCCCTGTAACAGAGTGAGTACTTACCAATTTTATTTTATGAATATTTTGTGATAACTTAGTTTTTATTAGATTAAGATAATAATCAAATAAAATAATGGGGCCTACAAGTAAATGAAGACAACAAAATGTATGATAATAAGCTGGAAATTTCCCTCCAATAAGTATTGATAGAAGGGAAATTATCACCAAGGGTAGGCAAATTCAAATACTTTGGCTCCACAATAAGCTCAATGATCAGAAATTGACCAGCATATAATAAGTGTAAACAGAGCTTTCTTCTCTCTTTCAAAAGGTATTGAATTCTTGAAAATTCTCAAGAAATTTCAAATTAAGGATTTACAATGCTATGATCAATCCAGCTGTAACATATGGCTGTGAGGCATGGACAATAACCAGCAACCTAAAAAAAAGCATTGAAAGAATTGAATCGGTGAGTGTAGAAACCACTTCTGTCACAACTCCTCCAAATTTTCAAATGTTTGAACTTTTTTTTTCCTATGTCATAACCTGCATTTATGTTGCTTCCTGCAAAAATTACCTAATTTCAACATAGATTACGCTCATGAAAATTTAAAATTTGATTCGGACTTATGCTATTTCTGCATTCAACTGTCTTTTACAGACTGCTGAAACCTTGGAAAAAGGTAACCATTCATTAAAAGTTTATATTTTTTAATCAACGATTTATTTTATAAAAATTTATATTAATTTTAATTTATTTTACAATTTAATGGGGATCCAACAAAAAAAATAAAAGGCTTGGAAATTTATATTACGTACAAACATTAGAGTGATAATTAACATAACATATCTAAAACGAAGTATATAATATTATATATAAAAATAAAATGGTATGTATAGTAAATATATTTTTTTAAATAAACAAGAGTATTAATTAATAAAATTGTGTGAAAATATTTGCATTCACTTCTGTAAATTAAAGCGTATTCATTTTGGTAAACGTCAATACTACCGTATTCATTTTTACTAGTGTAAATACAGCCGTATTCACTTTTACAATTGTGAATACTTATCATCTACATTTATATTTCTTTTTATGAATATAAATATATTTACATTTAGATTCATAAGTACCATAAATATAAATGGAATCCGTATTTATATTTTGAATATAGTGTAACATACCTCTTATATTTTACAAATAAGAATAATAATACCTCGGAAGATCATTTTATACCATTGGGATACTTCCTAAATAAATAAGAGGTTGTTTTATAATAAACAAAGTTATAAGAGAATTAATGTATTTATTTACCTCAGGTGTGGGTTACTGACAATCAGAGCAACTCAGACAAACTATTATTATTTACACTAAAATTAAACACTGGTGTTAAAATAAAGTCAAGTATGAATTGGTAAGCTAACCTTTTTTCTATATACACTGTTTCTTCCTGTGTTGCACTGAATTCATTTGTCTTCAAATGCTTTTCAATGTTCGGTCAAACACAACTTCCAAAATGGTAATACTATTACTTTGGTTTTCCTACTGGAACCAGGATCACTTCTCCCATCCTCTCTTTACCCCAGCCTAACATCAACAACTGTCCGCCAAATCAAAAACCTTTGTCCCTCTCCTCTTTGGGATTTTCCTTCTTGGGAAACTACAGAGCAGCCATTTTCTTTTCCCTGGACTAGTAGAACTAGATTAGCTTGCCTTTTAATTGTTCAATATTAATTTATTAAACACTTTTTACTCACTTCCAATAAAGGAGTATATTACAATAGATATGCTCATCTCTGTTGGTCATGCAATGCGGTGTAGAAACCATGTCAGTCACTGACTCATGTTATTTCTGCACTCAACTGTCGAAAAATATGTCATATATTTACGGAACTACTCAACAGACAAATGTGGTTCTTAAACTCAATACGCATCTTGCCTTTCTAAGCTCCTTTTCATCGAAAACGATTTTTCACATTTTTTTGACTGAAATGGTTTCTGCACTCACCGATTCAACTGAGAAAATTCCTCCATAAATAACCGGAACGATCTAGGATCAGAGTATTAACAAGAACAAAGATTAATAAATAGCTGCTTAAAGCTAGTTACTGGTCAAACAATATCTCATAATATGAAGGCAAGGAGTTTAAGATGAGCTTGGAGATTTATTTATTTTTAGTATGAAAACTTTGATATTTAATTATAATTATATTATTTTTAGAAAGAATGGCTTTGCTATGTTTGGAACAATTCAAACTTATGATATACTTGAAAATCATACAGTTTCAATAATGAAAGTACATATTCATCCTCATTATAATGCTGCAGAAAACAAACACGACATAGCACTGTTTGAACTAGAGATTCCACTCAATACAAGTGAAAGACCGATCTGCCTGGATACTGGAAGTTCTATTTATAATGATATGATAGTGACAGCAACTGGTTTTGGGTTGAATAAAGGTAATAAATTTAGAAAATGTATTTTAATTTATTTCTGTTTCATAAACAAATATATTTAATTTTAGATAAAACATTTAGTTCTTATAAATTAATTGTTTGGCTCATGTTAGAAATGAAATCCAGCTGACCTAATAAATAAAATCCTTTGAGAAGAGGCTCTACTAACCTCTTAATTTTTGATCCACTTTACTCTTTTCGATTTTGAAATCATTCCTTCCTCTGTTATTTATGAACTCACTCTCATTTAAATGTTTATTTTTATATACAACCATTTAGTACTGTTTTCAAAACATACATAAAAATGCCTGTTTACTTCTTTATTGGTTAACATAATCATAACATCCCTATAAATTGCATATTGTAGTGTTCCTTGTAACTATTTATTAAAGAATCTGGTGCGCGCAACACACAACATTCACTTACTCTTTGAACTTTGCTCAACTTTGAATAGAAATAATTTTCTGGCCCTGTTGGGCTATTATAAAATGTTTGAATCGCATTTTTAACTGAGCTAAAGCTGAAAGATTGCAGCTAACAAATCATAAATACTATTAAAATACCAAAAGTCCTATTTATTATATCACCAGTTGATTATGGATTGTACGATTCGTTGATTATGTGTTGTACGATCCATTGATTATGGATGGTACGACTATTAGTTATTAAAATGTTATTTTCCATTGCAAAGTATACTAAAATGAATTAAAGAGATTTCCATTGTCTGTCATAGGCAGGTCAAAAGTTGTCGCACTAATTGTAAGTGTATTCTGTTGGAATATCGCATATCGCATAATAACATTATGATTTTTCGGAATAAAGGGACGAAGATTTATCAAATTCTTTCAAAAGTTATATTTAGCATTTTTTAGTAACTCTGAATAATGTGAAATGATTAACTTTGTAATATAAATCATATTAAAGGTACTTTAGAGGAAGACATATATGAACATTGGGCATATTAGCCCTGTAAAGTGACATCAATGGGGATAAGACTGATTGGAAGTGGATAATGTTGGAATATTGCAAAGGGAAAATTCATCAAATTATTCACTAATTTAATTTTCTAAAAGGTTACATGATGATTTTTAGGAATAAACGGACGATAGATACCTAATTATTTAAATATAATATCAGATCTAGAGTTATTAGAGTACAGTAAATATATTTAAGGTTATAAATATATCCATGAAATATTTTTATATTTCACTTCTTCTTTCACTCATATACAATGAAATAGTATCTTAAACAGTGTCATTTCCTTGAATCCGTGGATTTTAAATATTTTTTCAAATAAAAAAAAAATGTTAAATGTATACATTTAGTAAGAAAATTTCATTTAATATCTTTGAGAAAACATGTGATTTACTTTAAATAATGTTAATTTTTGGTAATTATTATTTACATTTTTTTCGCCACTCTCCTTTATCTTCTACAATTTTCTATATTAGATATTGTTTTTTGTAAAATTTTCTGCTTTCCAACGATATATTATACATATGCGTTCTGACTAGTATTTCTGGAACAGACCAAAGATCTATTTTGAACTTCGTATAATGGCTTGCAGAAATGAGAATGGCTCCTTAATAACCGATCGGGTTGAATTACTGACAAGACGATCAAAAGTTATATATTGTGTAATTAACACATTCTTATAATTATTCATTATTTTTCTCTTACCAATTTGTTAATTGTTATAATTATGATTGGATAAGTTATTTCTCAATACAATTGCAGTTATTGAAATGCCATTATTATTATCTTTTTTATATTTAATTGTTAATGTTTTTTGGAAATCTTATTTTTTTTAAATGAAATTTCAGACCAAGAAATTAAAGTTCTTCAAAAAGTTGATTTAAATATTGTTGATGAAAGCTCATGTGCTAACAAATATAAACAATCAATTAAAGATATAGAAATACCTTTTCCTGAACATCCTCTTTGTGCATATCAAGAAGGCAAGGACACATGCAAGGTATGTTATTATCTTAGATACTGGGGATGCCAAGAGTAAGGGAGCACCATGGATTGGGGACAAATATTAAAGCCAATTAAAAGAATAATAGATTAAAGTTTTTAGAATAAATTAATGTATATAAAAACATCCTTTTAATCTATAATAGATAAATAATGGAACGGAATTATGCTGACATTATGTCTGAACATAATATAATATTGGCAGATATAATATTGTAGCCTAACATGTATATTTATTTTGACTATCGTTTAAAGTGAAAAGAAAGCATTTGTAGCTGAATGTATATCTGCGAAAAGAATAAGTTCACGAGTGTTCGGTGAAGATTAGACAAGAACAGTAGTACAAATCGTCTTCCTCATCACCTATGGCGCCAATCAGGAAGAGCATACTATACTAAATTTTGTACTCCCCAATAACTGCCACCATATTATATTCGTATTTTAGGCAATATAATAGGGTGTATAAAAAAAAAGACCGCTTATCAAATTCGAGATTTGAAAGGACTGTAAATATTTTTATCCTATTTAATACTTAATAATAATCCCTTTCCCGAACAACAAAACTATGCTTATATAAGACACTAATAAGCCTGTTGTGCAGGCCATGTGGCTATGATACCTGATAGCCAAATTCCAAAGAAGCTCCTCACTGAACAGCTATTTGGAAGACCCAAATTGTGTTGGGCTGATGATGTGCCCGTATAGCCTAAAAGGCGAGGTAGGGAAGAACAAAAAAACAAAAAACAAAAAAAAACACCACATTCCCTGGCAAGTTTGCAAGTACTAGTGGACGGATTTGAATCAACAGCTTCTTGCAGAACCTCATCAATATCCATTAATGGTCGCCTGGAGCCCTTCTTCCTTTCCAACGTCTTATCTCCAGTGTTAAATTTTTCAAACCAACGCCCGTTGGTTTGAAAAAAGATCCATCCTTAACACAAGAGATTGGAAATCGGCTGCTTTGAATAAAAATGACTGGCGACTGCTTTTAAAGGAGGCCTTGACTTTACATTGGTTTTAGCACCAAAGAAGAAGAAAAATAATACTTAATAATCCCTTTAGAGCATCCTTTAATATTGTTTAATCCCATTCGACTTCTTAAAACATAGCCTCAGTTTAGTTATTTGTTTCAAAGAAGAAACATGACAGTGTCATACGAAATTCTAGTGATTTTAAGGCATAACTGGAAAAAAAAATTCACAGCTGCTGATGCAACTCGTGAAATTATTAAATATGATGGGGAAGGTATCTATGATCAACGGTGTTGGTTTGAAAAATTTAGCACTGGAGATAAGACGTTGGAAAGGAAGAAGGGCTCCAGGCGACCATTAATGGATATTGATGAGGTTCTGCAAGAAGCTGTTGATTCAAATCCGTCCACTAGTACTTGCAAACTTGCCAGGGAATGTGGTGTTTTTTTTTTGTTTTTTTTTGTTCTTCCCTACCTCGCCTTTTAGGATATACGGGATTTTCCCAGGCTGGGGGGAGAGGGAGAGGGCGGGGAATTTAAAATCCCCTCCGGCAACTCGTACTTTTTATATCATCTCAAATCTCTGTTATCCGGTTGCCAGGCAACTAGCGGTGTTGTGCACACGCTTTAGCCTATTCGGCCACCCCCCCCCCCCCAGGGAATGTGGTGTGTCGAAAGATACTGTTTGTCGCCATCTAATCTCCATGGAGAAGGTGATGAAGAGCAGTAGACTGGTCCCTCATGAACTTACTCCTCAGCAATCAGCTAAGAGGTTAGAAATTTGTGAACATTTATTGAAAAACTCCTGCCTCATCCAGCATATAGTCCAGACTTCACACCACCGGATTAGGGTAAATACTTAAGCCTGGAGTAAGGGAGGGGGTTCCCGCCAAAATCTCGCCCCAGGCACCGGAAACCCACGCTATATAAAAAGTTGCTACAGCAGTTTATATAAAAAAACAGCAGTTTCGAAACTTTACATACTCGCTTATTCGTGTGCACTGTATAAAACACTAAATGCCCTCAGTTGTGGAGAGTTAAGCCTATTAGGGTGTCATTTGAAGATCATTTTAAAATTTTTTTTCTTAAATATTTCGGTAAATATTGAGTTCTGTGAAAATCAACTTCAATGCAAAATCAAACTAGAATAAATTCTCTTCATAAAAGAGCCTACTAATGTTTCTCCTATTGGCTATATTTTCGGAGATACGAATCAAAGGAAATTTAAAAAATCTGTGGTTTTGACTTAATTTTAACAATTACAGATATAAATTATTTCATATTCTCAATAATCAAACATAAAATACACAAATTTTAACCTATAAACAATGCCTAAAAGTGCATGCTTTAAAATTACAGGAACGATCAAAGGGTTTTTATGGGGAAAAATCATCACTTGAATATGAAACCAACAAAAAACTTATCTAAAAAATGGCTAACAGATGTATTGAAAGAGATGTATTTAAGATATCAAAAAGACGGTTTATACGTTGTTTTTAGCTCTCTTTAAGCTATCTGGAAAAGATTATCTAAAAGGCATCCAATATCTATCTGGGATATGTCTGAAATATATTTTGATATCCTAAAAAGATCATCTGAGAGACATCTTTTTTATATTGTCAAAAGACACTTTCAGACATCTGGTTTTAGAAATCTTTAAGACATATTTTAGCAGCCTATAAAAATTCATCTTAAAATGGCTATCTGTCAGATTTTTGTGATATCTTAAAGGTAAATAGAGAAATCTTTTAGATGGATGGATCTTTTAGATATTGATGCTGGGTGGGTATATTTTATAGTTTGAAACCATTTAATTGAATCTATTTTGCAGGGTGATTCTGGAGGACCACTTCAAATTGGTCATAGCGATCTTCAATGCATGTACACTCTAATTGGAGTAACATCTTTCGGCGTCAACTGCTCTCTGGAAAAAGATCTTCCTGGTGTTTATACGAAAGTATCTCCCTACATAGGATGGATAGAAGACATTGTTTGGCCTATATAAGAATTCGTTTTAACAGAGAAAGCGGTGTTCAAAAATAATTTATTTCCTTATTCTGATTTATACATATGTGATTATTAATGTGATATCTGCCAAGCCAGGAACATTACAAGAAACAGAGAACAGTGACAATCCTGTTTTAAAAAAGCTCCCCTACACTGATAGCCACAGCAGGGTGAGGCAAAAGAATAACTGATTATTTATGTTTTTGCGACTATTTATTGTATGTGTGATTATTTATGTTATTTATGACTATTTATATTATGTGTGAGTATTTATGGTTTCTTAATGGTATACAAATTTTAAAATTAAATTTTGTATAATTTTTTGACTGAATCATTTCTTTTAATCCTTCTTGTATAGTATGCAATCGTATAAAACCAAAAATTAAATAGATATAGGTTGGTCCTTATTCATTTATTCCTTATCCTTATTTAAACAAAAAGTAAAAACAAAGTGTAAAGTAGTGTGAAAAAGTCTTCGAAGAAACCAATTTTTTTATAAAAATAAAAGGGTTTTGATTTGTAAACTAATTTAATCTAGCAGGCATTATAAATGTAATGTATATATATATATATATTAGCATATATATATATTAGCATATATATATATATATATATATATATATATATATATATATATATATTAGCATTATTTTCATTTAACAACAAATCAAGGGACTAAGTGTTGACATTATTTTCAAAGTTTTTTAATAATTCATGATATTAACCATATTGATTAAATTTCACTATTTTGTTACCTACTTCCATATTTATTCTTTATTCTTAACATCGAAAGCTATTGTATAAATTCCAGGAAGCTGTTTTTCAGAAATTAAATTTAATATTCCATATTTTATAATTTATTTTTATTTTCTATATAATTGAAGATAAGTTTGTTGGGGTATTAAAAAATAAACAAATTAAAATTAAATAAATAATGTTTATTTTTATATTTGCCGACGTTTTGGCCAAAAGTTCAGGCCTTTATCAAAGACAAGATTAATATATCAGAACTAACAATATGAGAAACTATTAACTTATAAAAGAAAAATATTAATAATAGTAATTTAAGGAACATATGAAATAGCTAATTACTAACTTATAGTTTCTCTCTGATATTGTTATTAGTTATTTCATAAATTTCTCCCTTCTATTGTTAGTTTAATTTATTTTATTGAATGGGAGTGGGGTAGCTCAGTGGATGAGCACTGACTTCCAGAGATCAATCAAGGTCGTCCCAAGTTCGAATCCGGCTGATGACTAGTAATTTTTCAGCAGCCATGGGTCGACCCTGGGGATGGGAGAACCACTCTCCTGGGGCAAACCCATTCTCTACTGTTAATTAAATAAATAATTAACGGAAAAAACCTGGCGGTTCACCTCCCTGCACAACCATTGGTCTTTTAACAGTACTTGCTCACATTGCACTGAACCCAAGACTGGTTTGTTAGTGGTACAGGTTTTTTTTATTTTTGACTGACCACACGGATCAACTTCTCTTCAATTATTTACCACAGTCAACCATCATACATATATTATTTTCTATATAATGTTACTTATAAAATCTATAAGTCTGTTTCTATTTAAAATTATAATTTTGCATTAACAAGACATCAGGGAAAATCAAACAGAAGCTGAAGGTTCTATCTTTACAAAATTCATTATATGGTCAATTTTTTTTTTTTATAAAAAAGAGCAAAAAGGAATAATTAATGAAGGCGCATCTATTAATATGGGATAAATAAAATCAGCAATATTGCCTTAACCTCTAACATAACTGAATTAGAGTTTTTCTCTCAACCTAACTTAAGTTGGAGCTGGAGTCAAAAAACAAAACAAATACTGCTACGTTCTTAGCTGTCAACAGTGAGCATGTGTATCATATTCACTGATAATTTATTGAGAGAAAAATGGAATTTGCGTCGTTGTATAAAGATGCTTTATTTTTTTTACTTTCACTTACGTATATATGAAATATATATAGTAAGTGTTACTTTCACTTACGTATATATTTTATTTTATTTTATTTTCAACCCTCCCCTGCCTGAAGGCAATAGGGGTATTTGCAGCAGTGGGATGTTACTGTTACATAACAACCCACTGCTGCATTTTTGACTATTACATTATTTTTCTGAGCAGTGCACACAGCTTGCTCTTCTCTTCACTTACATCTGGTTTACTTTTCTTCTTATTCTGGTGGCCTCTCCGGTGCAGCTTCTCTTCTTCTTCCCAAAGAGAAGTGGGTTGGTAGAACAACTTCTTTCCATCCGTATATAAAACTTTTGAAGTGATCGTATCTTTCTTTGTCCATAAGTTGAGGAAGATCTCTCTCTGTTAGGACAAAGAGACCTGTTTCTCTCAACAGTTTCGCCCTCAGTGACTCATAGACCGTACAGGTAAGTACATGTTCAGCGGTCTCCGGTACCCCACAACTTGGGCATAGGGGATCGATATTTATACCATATTGAACGAATATTAAATATATAGTAAGTGTAAGTATTGCGATCGTGAAAATTTTCGAATCTCAGTTTTCAACGGAAATACATGTTTTGAGGTCCCCTGAGTCCAGATAACCAAGTGTCGCAAAATGGTCTGTGTGTGTGTCTGTCCGTGTGTGTGTGTTAACAGTCTAGCTCATAAACGAAAAGTAGTACGAAACTGATATTAAGTATTTAAGGTTTGTATATGAGCCGGATGTGACAGCAACTTTTTCGTTTAAATCGGCTAACCGGAAGTGCCACTTTATATGATCGCTGAAACACATTTTTACAATTGTCTCAAAAACGGCTCTAACGATTTGGATTAAACTCGGTGTATCATCGTATAAATAAGTGGTCTTTAATATAAATTAGGTCTTATCCCCGTTGATGTCACTTTACAGGGCTTAAATGCCAAATGTTCATATGCGTCTTCCTCTAAAGTACCTTTAATATGGTTTATTTAAACAAATTAATCATTTCGAGTTATTCAGAGTTATGAGAAAGTACTAAATATAACTTTTGAAAGAATTTGATAATTTAATAAAGGAGAAAAAAATAAAAATGCTTATCCGGGTCGAAAATGAATCTCCGGAAATAACAGTCATAAGGTATACGTATAATATACCGTTGGAAAGCGAAGAATTTTAGAAAAAACAATATCTAATATAGAAAGTTGTAGAAGGTAAAGGAGAGTGGCGAAAACATTATTAATAATGATGCCAGAAAACTAACATTATTTAACGTAAATCATATGTTTCCAAGGGAATTAAATGAAATTTTCTTACTGTATAAAAACTTTTGATTAGAAAAATGTTTTTCTAAGATTTAAAAAAATATTTAAAGTAGACCGAATCAAGCCAATGCCATTGTTTAAAATACTATTTCATTGTACTTGTGTGAAAGCAGAAGTGAAATATAAAAGTATTTCATGGATATGTTTATAACCTTAAATATATTTACTATAGAGTATTAACTCTAGATAAGATATTATATTTAAATAATAAAATATCGTAATTTTGTCTTAGTAAACTTTACAATTGATAATAACAGGTTAATAACTAATAATTCTACGAGACATAATCGTTTATAGATTAAATATTCAGATATACTTTCAAACCTCTGTAGGCATATATGAGCCTTTCGGTTGACAGAATGACTTACTCCAATTTCAACATTCTTTATTTTTAATTTTAGTGATGTTTCTAGTGGCAAAATTGATGTCTTAATTCACAGTTCAATATTTCAACACTGCAATCACATACTCCGGAATCAACTTACTGACTGTATAGATTTTCAACTGGAAATATCACTAAAATTGCATTACTAAAATTTGTTGAAATTGGAGTTAGTCATTCTGTCAACTGAAAGGCTCAGATACTGAAGGTGTATGGTTTATAAAAGTAAATGGAGTAACTAGATTTTTATTGTCTACCGTCGATATTATAAATAGACTTTTTGTAATTATAATGGTCGCAATGATTTGTTATCTGTAAGCTTTAAGCTTTAGCTCCGTTTAAATTGCACTTCAAATATTTTACAATAGCCTAGCATTGCTAGAAAATAATTTCTATTCAAAGTTGAGCGGTAAGTGAAAGTTGTGTGTTGCCCGCAGCAGATTTTTTTTCACTGTAGCTATGTGAGGTACGTAAGGAGGAGTTGGAGGGGGCGATACACCCCTAAACAAATTAAAATGAAATAAAACATATAAGGTTTACCGATAACCCAAGTAAAATATTTTTTCTTTAAATTTTTGTTCTATGTATATATTGTGTTTCACATAAAAATATGTATAAATTGTATAACAATAAACAACTTAATGTGAGTTTTTTTATATGAGTTTTTCGCTGAAAAGAACATCTCGCGCATCATTGTTGACCGATTATGTTCATTGAAGGGAGCAGTAACGAATGATAGTAGTTATCTGATGAATAGATAACATGTTTATCGATTGATAAAAGAAGTTATAGAGAATTCGAGATAAATATAATAAAGGTTTCATGATTGCAAACATATGATTTATCAAGATTTTATTTTAGTGAAGCCTCAAGCTTAAGTTAGGTTATCCAGGACTACTGTGAAAAAGGACACGAAGAATCACTATGGACGTAGCGAAACACAGAATGGAAGATTTCGACGTCAAGCAGTTCATCGTTGAACTGGCCCAACGCGATGAGTTCATCGACGAGATGGAAAAACGTCACTATATGTAAGTCCATCATTGTGGGGGAGTATGGTTTAACTTCAGTAAAATAATAATTTACAAATCGGATCAAATCATTAAGTAGCTAGTCTACTTCAAGAGTTAAAACATTGTTTAATAAAATTGAACGACTTGATAAATTAGTGTGAAATTAATTTATCAAGTCCTTAAAGTTTAGTTATGAAACACTTAGTTGGGCAAAATACACAATTTTCAGCACCCATCAAGCGTTTATATAAGAATATCGAGCTTTTGTTATGATGTAGGACTGTAGAACCCCTTTTGGTCCAGTATATTATCCTAGCATATTTTACTGTTTATCTTGTTTTAATAGTTTTTTTTTTCCTACTCCTAAATAACGCTTGCTTAATCTTGTAGCCCAATATAATTTCACTATCCTAGTAAAAGGGCCGTTAATTTCAGTAAAAAATCAAATCCTATGTCTTGTAAAGCAGGGACGTTATGTTATACCGATGCGGTGGAGGTATTCTAAAACCTTTGACAGATTGCCCTCTAGTGAAGTCTTTTGAGATCCTTCTACTCTCTTCCAGCAACCCACTCCATACTTTAGAGGGCTCCTTTTACTAATCTTTTAGCCGAATCTATGTCAAGAGGAATAAATGATGAATTCCTGATCCTATTCTACCCTGATTGTCAGTATCGGTACTTTTGTAGAACCCAAAATGGTCTGGTATCCACTGGAAAGCAACTTTTATCTTGTTTTCTTTTGATTGGTCCAAATCAGGTACCATTCAAGAGTTTTTGGAGTCGTATCATATCAATTTTGGAGGAAAATAGTGTCTGCCAACAAGTAAAAAGAAAAAAAAAAAAAAGGATAATATTGTCCTGCCGTTGAACCAATCTCTCAAGGTCCAAGAGAATGGCTCTCTTCCCCTCAAAGTTTAAGGCTACCCTTCCAGCCGAAAAAACATATTGAAACTCTTTTGAATCAGACGCAGATTACGGCTTTCAATTCAGAACCATCACTAAAAAGATGGAGGCATTCTGCTTTTGGGAATTGTTTTGCGATTGTTTCCAGGGATAATGCCTTTAGTTAGTGAATTGGTGTTGTGCTAGAAACTATGGAAGAGTTCATTTTGAATAAGATATCGACGAGTGTGTGGAACATGTGTCAGTCGGGGATAGTTCCTTTTTTTTTTTTTTTTTTTTTGAAAAAATAATTTTATTCTGGGACTACTGTCCCCTAAGAATAATAAAAGAGTTACAAATTTATGTATCTTAGTCTGACATAATAAAAATACCAACTAATTTATTGTTAATTGTTATTTCAATTGTGCAATGGATTGAAATTAAACATTGTATAGATGCAAGTAGTTTTACATGTTAGGGGAAGTTTGAATGTGGAGTAGGTGAGAACAGGAGTTGTTTGAAGGAATTTGTGGATGAGGATTGACGCATGGGGGTAGGAAGTGAGTTCCATAAGGAAGCAGCACGAATGACGAAGGATTTGCTGAAGGAGGAAGTTTTATGGGAGGGAATATATAAGTCTATAGGTTGAGACCTAGTATTGAGAGAGTGGATAGAGGGGCGCAGAGTAAGGAGTTCCAGGATGTAGGGAGGGTTTTTAGTTCTGAAGACTTGGAAAAGGAAAACGCCAAGAAGGAATTGTCGTCGGGAAGTAGGATAAAGCCACTTCAACTCGGTGTACCATAGTGAAACATGTGAACGTCTGGGGATCCCGAAAATGAATCTTATGAAACAATTCATGAGTCTTTTTAGTCTCAATTCCAGCCTGGCAGATAGCCCTCCATACACCAGCCGTAGTCGAAGTGGGGGGAATACAAGGGAGGTTACAAGGAGCTGTTTGGTTTTTAGAGGAATACAATCACGGAATCTTAGGAGTTGTTGAAGGACAGTTATGGATTTTCGGGTAATCTGGGAGATATGATTATCCCAGGAGAGGTTCTGGTCAATGGTTACTCCTAGGTTTTTGACTGTAGGGAAAAAATGGATGGGGTGGTTATTGAGGTAAAGTAGAGGAGAGTAAGGAAGGGAGCTGATGAGATTTTCCTTTTCAGCTAGTTCCTGTCCGTTCCTCTGTATCAAATATTTTACTGCCTTAGTAAAAGTGGTTGCATATTTAGTTATTCCAGTACCTGTTTTGTGTGTTTTTTTCGTCATTTTAAATCACTACTTGTTGCCCAGATAATGAGGAGTACAACAGTCTATTCAAAGGAGTTTCAATGTACCACTACGGTCGGAAGGATAGGCACAAACTTTGGAGGGAAGTGAGAGCCATTTTCTTGGCCCTTGAGAGATTGGTTGAACAACAAGCCAATGTCCCTTTCTTTGTTAACTCGTAGTCAGACATTATGTTACTCCAAAATGGATATAATATGAATCCAAAGGCCCTTAAATACCATCTAAATTTGGACCATTTAAAAGAGAACGGGAGAGAAGTTTTAAAGTGAATACTAGACCATCGCAGACCCGACGGAAATAAAAATGCTAATAAACTGCTTAGAATAGGACCTGGAAAGAACCAACCAGATATTCCTCCTGGTATATATTCAGCTAAAAGAATAGTAAAAGCGATATAACAGAGAAATATGCCCAAAAAAATAGAGGATAAGCTATGAAGTGGATTGCTGGAAAAATTGTTAGAATCCCAAAAGATCTTCTAGAGAACAATCCGTTGCATGCTTTAGAACGCTTACAGTGCATAATTTCTTAATGAAGCACCTCCACCACATCGGTATAACAGGTAGCCCGACTTACGGAGAGGGGGGGAGTTGGAGCGAGGTGGCGGAGTGAGCTAATGCGTGTGCACAGCACCGCGCGTTGTCTGGAAACCCAGCTAGAAGATTACTTGATAAAATAATAATAACTAGTTCGAGTCCCAGTGCTAAGGAGGGCTTTAAACTCTATCATAAATCTCCCACCCTCATCCCCTGTCCGGGAAACCCCGTATAGCCTAACAAGCGAGGAAGGGGAGGACATTTTTTTCTGTGCTCTTAATTCAATTTATCCATTTGGTTTTGGGCGTTCCATATGGTATCGTGCTACTATTGAAGCTTAAATTGTTATACAGAGACTTCCTGATGGATTGCTCCGAGCTACATTTCCCGCCCATCTTTACCTCCTTGTAGAGGATTTTCTTCTCAAATCTATCAATACTTATTTCTAGGGTGCTGGTTAGACTACAGATCCCGCAGTACTATATCAGAACTGGCTTTAGAATTACCATATAGTATCGATATTTTAGCTAATATATTCATTTAAGCGAAAAATAACTGTCTATAAACACTGTTGGAACGTTGTGATATTGTATTTAACACTATTTTGGCAAGTTATTACAACCATATTTATTTTCTACTTTCTTGAAAGTGATTAATTTTATGTCTTCAGAAAGCTCAAGTAACCAATCGCAATCCGTGATTATAATAAAAAATAATAATTATAAGACTACTATTGCTTTTATATTAATAAGGACTACTTTTCTCTTCCAGACGGGTTTACAAAGAGATGACTGAGCTGAAAGAGGGCATAGAAGAACCGATCGTGAAGAGGCCCGACGGTACGCCGTATCTATTCAACCTCCTAGATTCCCAAAAACTTCTTGAGATAAAACCATTATTTACAGTAAGATGCTAGCAGGTAGTCATTAATTATTGATATGCATATTTTAGTTTTTTTTTTTTTTAGTGTAATAAACAATTGTGAAATAATTTGCAGGGTTTTTTCAAGTTAGTTTCTCTAATTATTTATTTATTTATTTGGTGTTTTGTTGCCTCTAACCTGTAGGCTCATTGGCAACGCCTTTAAATTACAGTCTGTTGTAGAGTTTTATCTCTTTTAAAAACCTTAAAGTTTTTTTGACTGCACTTTCACTGTCTTGTAGATTTTGTTTTAGACTCTGTGCCATGTCTAACTTTTTCCTTGTATTTTCAAATGAAGTGCAGTCTTGAATAATGTGCTTTACTGTCCTTTAGACATTGCAGCTCTCGCAGGTCGGAGGATCAAGTCCTCTTAGTAGGTAGGAGTGCGAGAACTCACAATGTCCAATTCGCAGTCTGCAAAGGGCTGTCTCCTCTTTTCGAGATGATCGGTGAGAGGTTTCCCATTTTAAACAGTGGGGTTTAATTTCTTTTAATTTCGATTTTCCTTGTTCCCACTTGTTTTGCCACATGTTCCACACATTTTCTTTAATTTTTTTAACGTAATCCTTTAGAGGGATTTCATTAATTGATTTTACGGATATTATATCTGGCTTTCTTGCCAATTTGGCTGCTTGATCGGCTTGTTCATTGCCGATGATCTCGCAATGCGAAGGGACCCAAATGAACACTACTTCTTTGCCCTTCTCCCTTAGTAGCCCCCACACGTTTCTTACATCTTTTGCGAGAGTGGTTTTGTGCCTGTTATGTTCAATGGCTAGTAGTAATGAACTCATAGAGTCTGTCACCACTGCCCAATTGGTAGTTTCACTTGTCTCTATGTGTTTAAGAGCTTCTCTGATTGCTATCATTTCACCAGTAAATACTGAACAAGTCGCCGGAATTTTGAATAGTTTTTGAGTATTACAATTTATAACGGAACATCCTACTTCCTTATCTTCTTTTGAGGCATCCGTATACAAGATGTGACACTCCTTATATTTTTCCAAAGTTTCTAAAAATAGTTTTTAAACTTCAACTGGAAGTGCCATATCCTTTTTATTTCTGGCAATCGAGGTATCTATAGTTGGTTTGACATTGGTCCATCGGGGAATTATTATATCTAGCACATCCAGAGCATTTTCAATGTTTAGGTCCGAAAAATGATCAAGATGTGTTTCTATAAAGTTTATCTCCCTCATGTTACCTGTTTCCTCATTACAGAATAATACCTTATTTAGTATGTGTGTTGGGTTAGTCTTGATTTTAAGACCATACTTCGTTGTCCTGAGTAATCTTCTGAAGGTTAGAGAAGGTTCACCAGCTTCTGCATATAGACTTTCCACAGGGGAGGTTGGCAATGCCCCAGTATAAATTCTTAATGCAGAGTTGTGTACCACATCCAACATTCGTAAAGTTTTGCTTGAAGCAGAGCCGTAAACGCTTGAACCGTAGTCTAATTTGCTTCTAATACTTGCATAGTATATGTTCAATAGGCTTTTTCTATCTGCTCCCCAAGTCGTGTGAGAAAGACATTTAAGTTGAGCAACTCTTTTGAGGCACTCTTCTTTAAGCAGTTTTATATGAATTGTCCATCTAAGCGGGCCTTCTAACTGCATTCCCAGATATTTCAGGCTGTTAATAATTCTCCAGTTTCTCTAATTAATAATTTATTATTCCATTATCCATTATCCCAGATCACCAATTTGGATTCCGCACATCCCACTCCACTATTCAGCAATGCCATCGTGTGGTTGATGTAGTCTCCTCTGCATTGGAGCGCGGAATGTACTGCACGGGAGTCTTTCTCGACGTTGAACAGGGGTTTGATAGAGTCTGGCATCCGGGACTGATGTACAAACTCCGTGAATTCCTACCACCTACATACTTCCTCATTATCCGTTCCTACTTTACTGACAGATACTTCAAAGTCAATCATAACAATGCTTATTCATCTCTTTTTACTCAGTCTGCCGGTGTTCCTCATGGTAGTATCCTAGGTCCTATCCTTTACACAGTTTATACAGCTGACATCCCAACCCAATCCAACACTATCATCACCACCTATGCCGATGACACGTGTATCCTATCAGTTAATAACGATCCTTTAATTGCATCCCAAAATCTTCAATCACATATCACAAGCCTTGAAGAATGGTGTAAAAATTGGAGAATAAAAATAAATTTCAACAAATCCCATCAAATCACCTTTACCCTCCGTCGTAAACCTATGACCTCTTGTCCTACAGTATCCTTCAATAATACTCCACTTATTCCTGTTGAGCAAATCCGCTACTTAGGACTCCACCTTGACAAACGACTCACTTGGAACCCCCATACCAGACTGAAACGACTAGAAACCGCCCGACGTTTTCGACTACTGCAGCACTTACTAGACAAACGATCTAAGCTTTCAATCAATTATAAACGACTCGTATATATGACAATAATAAGACCTATTTGGACTTACGGAATTGAGCTTTGAGGCTCCACTAAACCATCGAATTCCTCTCGTATCCAATCCTTACAATCCAAAATCCTTCGTAAAATCCTCAACGCTCCTTACTTTGTCACAAATAAAATCATCTACAAAGACCTTAATGTTCCATATGTTTCCTATCTGGCCCAATCCAGATACCTTTCCTTCCATAACAAACTGCAGAACCATCCGAATCCTCTCGTTTCAAACCTTGCTTCCCCCTCGATCCCTGATAAACCCCCCCAGGCGTCTGAAAAGAAGATGGCCTCGGGATCTTCTAATATAGAACTTTAATTTGAGTTCTACCAATGGGTAGTTTCTCTTCATGTTGTACATGCCATGTTACAAATTTCTCGTTTACTTATTGTATTCTCTATGTAATACAGTTGTACATTCCATTAAAATAATAAAAAAAAAATTCCATTATCAGATAATCGTGAAAGAATTTTTTTATCAAAAGATATTAATAAATAATTATTACTGGTTATCTTAAATAAATTATATTAATTGTAATTATTTCAGACGGAAGGTGAAGGCCTGTTGAGCAGAGCGAAGTTCGTGGAACTACTGGAATGCCACTGCAAGAAGTTGGAACTGACACCGCTCCACTTCGATAGAATTTATCAGATGGTGAGGAATTGGAGGAGTGCAACTTTATAAGATAAATCGTAATCTTAGGGTACTTTTCTCACATCGCCATAACCAAAAAGAAGAGTACCCCAAGATTATACTATTTATAATTGACAATTAATAGTTTACTGACTAACCTAAAGCTAATATAAAAAAAAAAACTTATCAACTAATATTAACAGATATAATAGTCTAATAATAAAAAATGCATATTGCCAAAAGAAGCGTCTATCATAAAGTTACAGACTGAGAGAGAGAGCGAATATCATCAGGGTTTCCACTTGGGTGAAACAGTTCCCTTTTTAGGGAAATTTTGAGATCGGGAGGGGAAAAAAAAAGGGAAAATATTTTTATTAATCAAAGTCTGTTCTGAGTATATTTTAGTCTATTCTATTAAATAATATAAGTAAAACAGACATAAAGCGAGTATTTAAATATATCATGTATTGCGTTGGCAAATAAGTCCTTTCGGTTTTTTAAGAGTTAAATAAAACTCAATGTATTATAGACACAAAATTTATTTTAATCTACAAAGTATTGACCATTATTTAATATGATTTTTTCAAATCTTTCCACTAAGTGCATAATACCATGTTCGTAGAATGTGTGGAGTTTATTGTTAAAAAACTGATCGAAGTGGTTTTTGATGTCTTCTTTTGGAATTTCTTTCCATTCATGCAGTTCTGCAGAGACCGGAATAAGTGGTAGTCACCTTGAGCTAGGTCTGGTGAATAGTGAGGGTGGGGCAAAAGGTCACATTCAAGGCTCAATAATTTATTCCGAGTGACCAATGCGGTGTTGAATCTAGCTTTGTCTTGGTGGAACACAACACCCTTCCGATCATTCATAACTCTTCAGGATGTTCTCCAAATTCGATGTTACTATATTCGTTGGAAAGTATTGAATTATTGCTCTTTAAAGCCGCTTGAATGATTTTTTTTTTTGGTTTAATGCCTAATTAGGAATAAATAAACAAAAACTCCTTGTAGATTTTTATTTTTTATCTAGATTTGTAGTTTCTTTAAGAAAGTCCTGTTAATGTCATTTTGTGCAGTTTATGTAGCCCTAAATTCCAGCTGAATTTCTTGCAGGTAGCTTAAGTCGTATTGAAGTTATAACATTTTTTGTGATTTTCGAAAAAAAAATCATGCGAGTGACACAAACATTAAGGCTGGAAACATAGCCGAGCTCGTACAAATAGGGCCATAGCAATCTCTCGCAATTGATTTGGATGGGATTTTGATCAATAATGGCCTTAACATTGCTCGTTTCAATTTCTTGTGGGCCACCAGACCATTGAGCATCTTTGATGTTAAAATTTACTGAATGAAATTTGGTAAATCAATTTTGACAGGTGTGTTCGATTATGGCACCATCCTCATTAACACTGCAAATTTTTCTATGAGCTTCTGCAGCACGCTTATCTTTTTTAAAATAATACAACAAAATATGCCGATAATGAATGATATTTTCCTACATATTCACAGTGCAATAGCAAACACTAAGATAGTTTCAACAAGAGTTAAAAGATATACTTGTTGACATATTACAAACAGGATAAACATTCCACCTTAGGGATTAATTCATCAGATAAGAAGTGTATCATTGTGAAATAAAAATAAACAGTAAAACCTAAAGGACTTATTTGCCAACCCTATATTATTTTGTATATAATAGGGCGGAAGGGATTTTAAATTTAATTCTGAGGGAATAAAAGGGGAAATATGACTGAATAAAATGGAAAATAAAAAAAAAAGCTATGATTTATTCTTATATACTAATTTCTCTTTACCTTTCAAAAATACCTCATCTACATCATCCAGTATTTCTGTCTATTTCTCTCTCCCTGCGCATTGCATCATGCGTATGCACTGACACATAAATTTCGTATTTACGTTCGTTACAATATTGACTCAATAATATTGAAAAAAAAAAAAAATATATATACTGTGAAATCCCGGTGTGTTAAATAATTCCAGTCTCATGATTTAATTTCCATTCTCATATTGTTGTCAACAGATTGACTTGGACATGGACGGGATGATAACATGGGAAGAATTAGCCAACTATCTGAACCAGGAAATAAGAGAGAGGCAGGTGATGGCCAACGGGGTCATTTGCGATCTTAGCGAGCCTCCCATCTACGACTCGCCCAAGTTCGTACGCAACAGACACGGCCATATCATATCCTCCGTGGCCTTCTGGCCGGCAGTTACTAAGGTATTATTTATTATTAAGTCATATCAATGGAGCAGTAGAGCATTTAGAATTAAATTTTAGGAAGGGAGGTGCTAAACTTTTTAGTTTACTAAAAATTACAGGAACAATTATGCTTTTAGCCATACAAATATTACAAATAGCCATAAAATACTTACATTTGGTAGGTGAAGTACACCCCTCGCAATTAAAAAATGTAACATATTGTGGTTGATCATGTACTTACAAACAGTTTATGCAGCTAACATCCCAACCCATCCCAACACTGTCATCACCACCTATGCCGATGATAAGTGTATTCTATCAGTTAATAATGATCCATCAATTTCTTTCCAAACTCTTCAATTAAACATCACATGTCTTGATGAATGGTTTCAAAACTGGAGGATTAAAATAAATCCCATAAAATTACCTTAACTCTTCGTCACAAACCTTTGACCTCCTGTCCTACAGTATCCTTTAACAATTTCCCACTTATCTCAGTTGAACCAATCCGTTACCTAGGACTCCACCTGGACAAACGACACATATGGAATCCTCATACAAGACTGAAACGACAAGAAACAGCTCGACGTTTTCGACTACTCCAGCATTGAGTTGGAATTGAGTTTTGTGGCTCCACTAAACCATCTAAATTCCTCTCGTATCCAATCCTTATAATCCAAAATCCTTCGTAAAATCATCAACGCTTCTTACTTTGTCACAAATAAAATCATACATATGTTTCCGATTTGGTGCAATACGGATACCTATCCTTCCATAGCAAACTTCAGAATCATTTGAACCATCTTGTTTCAAACCTTGCTTCCTCCTCGATCCCTGATAACCCTCCAATGCGTCTGAAAAGAAGTTGGTCTCGGAACCTTCTAATATAGAACTACAATTGGAGTGCTACCAATGGGTATTTTCTCTTCATATTGTTATTCATGTCATGTTTATAATTCACTAATTTCAAATTTCAAATTCTCGTAATTTTAAGGCATTACTGGAGAAAAGAATTCACTGCCGCTGAAGCAACTCGTGAAATTATTAACTATGAAGGGGAAGGTATCCTTGACCACCGCACTGTGCGGCGTTGGTTTGAAAAATTTAGCAGTGGAGATACGATGTTGGAAAGGAAGAAGGCCTCCAGGCGACTATTAATGGATATTGATGGGGTTGTGCAAGGAGCTGTTGAGTCAAATCCGTCCACAAGTACTCGCGAACTTGCCAGGGAGTATGGTGTGTCGAAAGATACTGTAAATCGCCATATACTCTCCATTGGGAAGGTGAAAAAGAGCAGTAGACTTATCCAAGAAATAATAATACATATATTTATTTAGAAAACGTTCATACAATCTATTAATTTCTAATCTTACTCATTTGTAGGAGAAGAAGAAAGACTATTCCGCGGGTAGGTTCATCACAACCAGTAAGGACGGCTGTGTGGATTTTTGGAACTTGGATATGAAACACTTGTATTCTTCCACTGCCTTCTCATGTACGCATTTATTATTTAAAATATCTTATACATATATTATAAATTATTGAGCATATTATAAATATTATAGCTGTTCCCCTCAAGATCGCATCGACCTGCGTAACAAAAATCGTGTCTATGGCTGACATCAATATGATCGCCGTCTGTTCTATGGACAGGGAGATCAGGATATATGACGCCATTGCTGATAACTTTCGGCTCAGAACGGTGGTATGTTATTAGTTCTTTAATATGCTCTTAACATATCATTATGGTTGAAAGGTGTTATAGTTGATAAATACAAACCATAATAAATATTTAGGCACTACTGTACAAATTTACTCCATTGATGGCACAAGATTTTATGATAACACCATGAATGGAATCCCGAGCTATTCCGAAAGTAGGCGGAAGTGACCGAACCATCTGTTAATGCCTTGACCTCAAGAGAAAAACATGTTTATCCCTTTTGAACGGGCGTAGTGAGCGGGAAACATGAGTATAGATATACTCAAAGTTAATTAAGGTTCGAGATATTTACTGAAAAGGACCAGTAATTGGTTTTCCAAGCTAGTAACTACCGATCTAAATAAAGGGCGGTTATGTTGTGAACAGTTTTGCTGTGCCGAATGGGAAGCGTCCGCGGGGTAGACCGAAGCGAAGGTGGGAAGATTGCATTAAAGTCGATCTGAAGAGACTGGGTTTGGACGGCGAACGGTGGAGGGAGGTGTGTAATAAGCGATTGGTGGTGTCGGCATCGAACCTTCGGGTTCGCTAAGCCTTTTATTATTATTATTATGTTGTGAACAGTATTAAATCCTCTCTTTTTGGAATGATGCTCAATGGTCTGGTCACCCACATGAAATTGGAATGATCAATATTAAGGCCATTGTTGATCAAAATCCCACCCAATCAGTGCGAGAGATTGCTATGTCCCTTTGTTGTACATTTATGGCTTGTTCATTAGACCTTAGCACACTCGTGGAGTGACACTTGTTCGGTGGTACCAATATTTAATTTATTTATTTTGGTTATATTTTAGCAGTTAGGTGTGAGATATACATTTGTGTTTGGGGCACAGGCTTTCTCTATTCCTGAAGTAGGTGGAATAAGACCTAATTCCTAAATAGATTGATCAGAAGATGTGCATCGTTGATGTGCATAGTTGATGGGGATGTGCATCAAATAAATAAAGTAAAGTTAACTTGAAATATATTATTGAATTAAAATAGATATGAAATATGAAATAAAAATTAGAGTTATTGATGAGGGATTATTTAATTATGTACATTAAGGCTAATGTGTAAATTTCGGATTTTTGAAAGGGTATTTGATAGATTTCATGATGATGCTTACTGATCCAGTGATGACATAATGAAGTCTTCAATCTCCCAGACTGGTACTATTGTTTCGGTAAATCCTGATGATCAGGCATGGGCACAGAGGTTCACAGAAGTGCTTTTCATGGTGCAAGCTGTGGCATCAAAATATTTGTGGTGGCACATTTCAAGAGGATTATGAATTTTCGAAATTAAAAGTTTCAAAGCAGGGTACAAAGTGAAAGCATAGAACAGACAGCGGAAAGAGTAATTTATGTGGCCTATGATTTCTATAATTTTACTTTAGCCTGCACTGTTATTAAAAAGAGGAGAGCAATAAAATAATTTGTGGGGAGAAGGAAGGGGGGTTTATAAGCCATCGATCTTGGGGGGTGATGGGCACCTTTGTTGGTGCATCTCTGCTGCCTCTCCCTGGCCTCTCTCTTGATGCCTTAGTCTAGCTAGACATATTCTGGGTCATGGATACCATTTTATAATCAGTCTTTAATCAGGAGTACTTCGACCACCCAGATCCTACGTCTTCAGGTAAGGCTCTGGTTGCTCATCTTCGCCGATTGACGGCGGTGCTATTTTGATATATTCGAAATCATAGCCTATAACATAGCCCTTAACAATTTGTTACTTAAGTAACAAATAAATGAGTGGGAGTGACAAATGGATCAAGACTGGAAGCATAGCAAATATTGTCATAGCTTCGGCAGAAAACAAAAGCATGATAGCATGAAGGATCGTTCAGTTAAGATTAAGGCCCAATGCACTATAACACATTGAGCATTTATCACAAGTTACGTGAATATCCATAATTAATTTGTAGTAATATAGTAAACATAAATCCGAAAGTAAAATTTCTCTCTTGATCAACGAACAATTTCGATACTGTAGTAAGTAGATGATAGTAAAAGCTTTCTTAAAGTTTAAAGTTGTAATATCCATATTTCCGGAGAAGAGGGTCTTAAAAGCAACTTGAAATTCATTACTAATCACTAAAAATTCATATGTATTATTTTATGCCGTAGAAAATTGATATCATTACTACATTTCCTTTGTTATGTTGCTACGATAGATCAATGACTTCCGACACGGATTGGTCACGATGGAGTACCAGTTCTACGACACGGATTCGGTCAAGTCCTGGCTGGCCGTCGGTGACACCCAAGGCAATATCTTCGTGTTCATGTTCTCGCAGAACGCGGCTCGGACGATATTCTCACAGGTGATTGGGCTCCCTTTCGTCAGCGTTCGCTACCCACAGGTTCGAATGGTGAGTGATGATTAATGATTAATGTTGAAAATCATATTTATACATATAATTGAGTACTTGTATGACTTTTCACTCACCTATCTTATTCCATAATTCCGTAAAAAAACCTTGGTGTTACCTTTGATCAAATCCTCTCCTGAAAATCACACATCCTCCAAATTTCCCGTCGTACTATCTCTACCCTGAAACAGTTTAACTATCTCCGATATCTCCTTCCATATAAAACCCGTCAACTCCAGGTTTCCTCTCTTTTGTTCCCTCACTTTAACTATGGCTGTCTGGTGTACGGCTGATTCTCGAGAGAATTCGAGACCAGCTCAAAGACCTAAAGAATTGCGCAATTTGTCTTGTTTTCGAAATCTCAAGAGATACCCATATAGCCCAGTATTACACCAAGTTGAAGAGGCTCTATCAATCCAACCGCCATCTGTACTTCCTTGCTACCTTTCTATACCAAGCCATCAGAACTCAGCGACCTTCCTATATTTTCCACAGCCTACAATTTAAATATTCCATTCAATTCCGTCCCCCTAGATCCCGTACTTCCGACTTCTATCCACCTCCTCACTGAACTGCCGCGTTTGACAAATGCTTTATAATTCAAGCCGTATCCTTCTGGAATACCATCTCTTCCGATATCTGACATGCACAATCAGTATTCTCATTTAAATCTTTCCTTTTTAAGCACCTACTCTTTTTCCAACCCGATTGATCGATTCTTCACAATTTCTGGCAGAGGGGAGCCAGGTGTTCAAGAAGTATAATCAAAAGTATTCTAACCAGAGTGGAAAGGCTGAATTCATCTGTCGCTATGCTGGAGTATGTTAAATTTAGGCTTTAAGTGTATATTGATAAAAGATGCCATTAAGATTTTGTCTATGACAGGGTGTTCTTGAAGGAGTGGAGGCATTCGAGTTCCCTAAGGTACACCCGACCTGGATCGAGACCATGTTCTACTGCGAGGAACTGTGCGCGTTGGTGACCACATGCAACAACCCAAAGAACGCCGTGATGGTCATCAATGTCTTCAACAACACCATCCTCGCCAGCATAGACGTAGCTCCCGGTGTCACCGTGGCGGACAAGTTGTCGAAGGAGAGTAAGTATTCAGAAAATCAGATTATCTGTATTCGTTTTGTAAATTTCAAAAACAATTCTTCTAGTTTGTAATTTATAGCCAAAGCCAGAATTTTCAAGCAGTTAAAACTATAAATTATATATTAAAATATAATATGTAATAATATCTGGTTCGCGTCACAAAACTTTTCACTACTATCTTATTTCTTGTAGAAATAAATATGTTCATATCAAAGGAAGTAAAAGGAAAAAATTATAAACGGTTCTTTTGCACTAATAGTAGCGAAACTACTTTACTTAACTTGTGCTTTTACTGCTTTCCTTTGTATTAAATGTACGTGTCTTTTTGTCTCTGTGTCTATCTTTGTATATATATAAATTTTAATTTCTTTATTTTTAGTATTATTATTTTGCTTTGATTCCATTTAATTTATTGAACTCTGTCCACTAATACCGCATATTCGATTTGGCTAAAATTTGGAGAGAAGTTAGAGATTGGTAAACAGATAATCAAGTAGATATGAATTTTATGAAATTCTGTCCACTTCTCCTAGCAAAAATGAAAAGGATCAGCAAACGTATTATTTGGCAATCCTATAGTTTGAAAATTTCAATTTGATTCGTAGATCGTTCGATTTGACCCAATGTTGAAAAATTGTTTAATAGAAATTTCCTAATATGAATTTCATTCCATTTAATAATTAAAATTAATATAAATTAATGTTAGCAATATAATGGCAGTGAAATGTGAAAAGCACTGATCATGTGTAGTGAGAGTTAGGTTATGACAATATTTTTATGGGGTTATAAAATTTTAGGTTTTATTCAAAGAGTTAATTTATACTGTATTGTTTCGTCGATTCCGAACGTTACTTAGATTTCGCGTATTTTTCAATAAATTTTAATTAATTTTTACTCTGAGTTTGTAAAAAATAAAAATATTATTTGTGATTTTGTTTATTTATATTGAAGTTCAAAAAGATCGTCATGATGGTGGTTTTTATATTTCAGCTTAAATAGTTTTGTTGTGACTGAAGAAAAGTATTTTTCTCGTTAACTCTGGAAAAACAAAAAATTTAGTTTTTTTAATTTCTCTTATGAAGTTTTTGTAACATCGATTTTACGAATTAAAACATGCCGATTAAGTATACATTCCTACTGTTAGTGCAAAAGGTCGTAATCATTCTGCTACGATAAAAAATAAAGTACGAAATTATTTTAATAAATCGTAACGAAACAACATTTTTTATGCTTTCCTGTAATTTCCGAAAAAGAATACTGAATTTTCGAAAAAGGCTTCTCCCAGAGATTTTATTCTCATACGAACAGTTTTAGTCCTTGTAATATAGATATTTTTTAGCCAATCCAAGTGATGGAGCTATACTGATCTTCCTTGGCACACGTTTTGGTTTATTATTTTCAATAATCAACCATTGTGATCGACCAAAAAATTCAAAAACCTCCTCTCAAAATTTGAGGGTTCACATTTCAGGACGCGTAGAATTCGAAAAACGAATACAATTTTTTTTTCCGTCCGCCGTCCGCCGTCCTCGCATTTTCTCCGAAACTACTGGACCGATTTTTTTTTTCAAATTTTGATATAAAATCAGAGGTCACCCGAGGATGATCCTCCTTCATCGACATTACTCTCCGCATTTAACTTTCAAAATGGCGGCCGAAAAACCTGCGTTGCTATAGACTGTAGCTCCTTTGCTAAAGTCATTTTCTCGACGCCCTTTAAATTTATCTATATAACATACTTCAACGAAAAGAAGCTGGAAAAAAAGTTACGAGGGATGGTAACATTTAATTCCGAATAACTGGAAAAGTTATTACTTTTTTGTTGATATTTGGAAAGTTTACGAAATTCTCTAAAAAAACAAAAAAAAAAAAAAATCGTTAAACTCGGACAATTAGGAGCAAAGATATGGTCTCCGGTTTTTTATATATATTCTATTCCAAATGTTATGTCCTTTGTTTTGTTGTTTTAATTTTGAATGTGTTACTAAACTAATGCTATTTTTTTTTTAAGCATATTACTGATGATTAAAAAAAACAGTTTAGTCCAATAATTGGAATCACCTTTTGTTTTTTTTTCTTTGTAACTCGGAAGGTAATGTTACTTTAGATGTATAATTGTTTGGAAATAATAAACCATTGTGAAATAATTTACAGCATTTTTTTTATTTATTGTAAATATGGTGTGAATGAAATCATGTAGCACTGTTACTAAACTTCTTAGTTGTGGCAAAACATAAATTAATTCTATAAAATAAAAAGAAAAAAATAATTTTAATTTAACTACAAGGTTTTTTTGTACAGTTAATAATTACTTTAAATGAATATATTATACAGTATATTTTTTTATTTATTTATTTTATTTTATGCAATTTGCACCTGCGCAGCTGCGCATCTAGCAAATTTGTTGTATTTTTATTGTCTTGGTGTAATTGCTTGATTTTTTTTTTATTTTTTATTGATGTAGTAGGTCTCTTGGCCATTTTCTTCTTAATCTTCGTTGCTCAGGTAACAGGGAGCAGGAGATAGAAAGAACCAGAGGATTGGAGTGATTTTGGGTTGAAGAATGAAATGTAGTGTATTTGTCGTGGATGTAGGATTTTACTGTTGGGATGTTTAAGTCGTTATGTATAGTAGTGTTTGAAATGTACCAAGGTGCGTTAACAATTTTTCGTATAATTTTTGATTGTGCTGTTTGTATTTTGTTTATGTGTGTTTGTTTTGCTGAACCCCAAAGTTCTGCTCCATATGTCCATATTGGTCTCAGTAAGGTGTTGTAGATAAGTCGCTTGTTTCGTAAGTTAAGTGAAGATCTGTAGTCCAGAAGATGTGAAAGTTGGCTATATCGTCTAGTAAGTTCTTGTCTTTTTAATTTCGTATGTATGTTCCAAGTAAGCCTTTTGTCTAAGTAGAGTCCAAGGTACCGTACATAGTTCTTTGAAGGCACTGGATTATTGGCAATCGTTATGGGTGGACATGAGGCTTTCCTAAGAGAGAAACTAATGTGGGTGGATTTTGTACTATTAATTTTGATTCTCCAGTTTTCAAACCACTTTTCAAGAGAATGAAGATGGTTTTGTAGGGCAATTGATGCGATAGTAGGATTTTTGTGTGAAGATAGAATAGCAGTGTCGTCAGCGAAGCAATAAATGGTGGTATTAGGGTGCTCAGGGATGTCAGAAGTGTATATAGAATAGAGGATTGGGCTCAAGACGCTACCTTGTGGTACGCCTTTGTGTTGGGGAAAGAAGGAAGATACAGAAGAGTCTACGGAAATACAGAAAAATCTATTAAGAAAGTAGGATTGAAGAATTAAAAAATAAGTGGAAGGTAAGTGCGGTTTTAGTTTCCATAATAGGCCCTTGTGCCAGACACTATCAAATGCTTTCTCTATGTCGAGAAAGACGGCAGAGCAATATTCCTTTTTTTCAAAAGTCATAGAGATAGCATCTACTATCCGATGGCACTGTTGCACAGTAGAGTGATAACAGCGAAAGCCAAACTGGTGATTTGGTATCACTTCACTATATTCTAGAATAGGCTTCAGTCGGTTTAGTAATAGTTTTTCAAATAGTTTGCCCATTATTGGAAGAAGTGCTATAGGACGATAGGATGAAGGAGAAGTGGTAGGTTTTGAAGGTTTGGCAATCATACAGTATATAATTTTTACTTTCACTTATATTCCGTGCTACAGACCCCTTCTGAAGAATTAGGACGCTTTCAATATTGAGGTTGGCAAACTTTGTCTATTTAATTAGGCAATAAAAACTGGTAAATACCCGTTTCCTTTCAAATTTTATCGTAAGATAACATGAGTAGAAAGTCGAGGAAAAAAATATTGCGCCGTATGGTCTATATAACCTCCCTATTTTGACAATTGTGGGGTGTAGGTCACGCCAAACGGCTCAATTATTTTAAAGACCACCATTTTTCTCGAATTTGTGCTCATGTTATCTGACGATTAAATTGGGAAGGAAATGGGTATTGCCGAACTCCTGATTGAAAACGCCCCAATTCCGAGAATTTTCGTAAATAAAATATTTGTAGGTTACGATGAGATGAAGCTGTTGACGAATTTTCAGCCGGATGTTATAGTTTGATAAAAAGGGGTCTTGTACCGCGGACTATTACTATCATATCAAAATCACTTCTTTACTGTTAAAGTGGTAGGTGAAAGTTGTGTGATGCACACAACCATATTTCATGTCTTTCTCCGCTATCCATTCTTAATACAAAGAACATTCTTCCATGTAGAACATGAAGGAGGCGAACCTTGGGCCGATGTTGGGGTCGACACGACAGAGATTGTGCCGGCGAAGAAGGGTCGCTTGAGCCACTATCTCGTCACCGCCGGCTACGATACCGACGTCAGGATCTGGGACTTAGAGTCCACGACCAAGCCAAAGGCGGTCATAGAAGGCACGACTTCCAAGAACGTCGCGCTCATCGTCGACGAGGACAACCATACCAATCCTTGGATCTACACCTACGCGAGGGAGGGGAAAATCACTGTCTGGGACGCCAGGACGAGAGTCTCTTTACAGGTTTGACTTTAAAACTTTATTGATTTCAATATATCAATTTCAATCTTCTCGGTTAGGGCTTAACTTTATTTTTAGTAATAAAATACTCTATTTGATCTCGAAAGTTCTAATTTATTTCTTCCTCTACTTCAACGTTTCAGGCCTTACGACATTTCAAGGGAAGAAACCTTTAACAAACAAAACAATCATCACATCCTAATTATATTTGCTCGTTAATTATTTTAGTTTTATATTTTATAATTACTTGTTACACACCTCCCTCCACCGTTCGCCGTCCAAACCCAGTCCCTTCAGATCGGCTTTAATGCAATCTTCCCACCTTCGCTTCGGTCTACCCCTCGGACGCTTACCATTCGGCACAGCAAATATTAACCTTTTAGGAATTCTCTCGTTACTAAGCCCAACAACTTTACAAGCCCATTTGATTCGCCGCGATGAAATTACCTCAATTATATTACCCGGATACAGCTCACGCAATTCGGCGTTGTGTAACCGTCTGAACTCTCCGGTTAACTCATCCTTCTTCGGTCCGAATATTCTACGCAATACTTTATTTTCAAAAACCTTAAGACGCTGCTCATCCCTTAATGTAAGCGGCCAAGTTTCGCATCCATAAAGAACTGTAGGCAAGATAATTGTTTTATAGATTCTAATTTTTAAGTTTCGGGACAAGAGGCGCGAACTAAGTAGTTTTGTCACAGAAAAATAACAAGCATTCCCCGCCTTCAGTCTAACCTTAATCTCTTCTTCAATTTCGTTTTTTCTAGTTATCGTAGAACCTAGATACCTAAATTTATCTACCTGTTCAAACATATTACCATCTATATCGATATCACCAGTAGTATCGCCATTTTTGCAGCTAACCATATATTTTGTTTTATCCACGTTTATTTCGAGTCCTAGTTCTTTACCGGCTTTCATTAACGTTGTCGTATTTAGTTTTATAGTTTCAACGTCTTCGCTTAACAGTACCAGATCATCAGCATAGCCCAGCACGGATGTTGTCCCGCCCAGATCCAACCCTTTCTCGGTTCGCATTACCTCCCTAATGGCATGTTCTAATGCCAAATTGAACAGGACAGGCGAAAGAGAATCCCCCTGTTTTAAGCCCGAACGAACCTCAAATTTTTCGGACAAATTATTACCGATTCTAACTTTATTGAGTGTCTCCGTCAAGCACATCCTGACTAGATTTACTAGTTTTTTTGGAATCCCCTGCTCGATTAGAATATTATACAGTTTCTGGCGGTCAATAGAATCGTAAGCCTTTTTAAAATCTATATACAGCTGGTGAACAATACCGTTATACTCCAATTTTTTCTCTAATATTTGCCGTAAAGAAAATATTTGATCAATAGTCGAACGATTCCGTCTAAATCCGCATTGGTAGTCTCCGATAATTTCCTCGGCGTATTCCGTGATTCGACTGGTTAAGATTAAAGTGAATATTTTATAACATACCGGAAGGAGTGAAATTCCTCGATAGTTATTACAATCCGTCCTCGGACCCTTTTTGTGAATCGGAATAAGAATAGATTCTTTCCATTCTTCAGGTAATTTCTCGTTCACCCAGATCTTTTTAACCAACCGATGTATTTTAGAAACTCCAGCTTCCCCGCATGCCTTAATTAGTTCAGTAGGAATATTATCGATTCCCGCTGCTTTATATGATTTTAATTTTCCGATAGCTACTTCAACTTCCTCTTTACTTGGTCCTTCTATTAACGGTTCAGCACTCTGGTACTCAGAAGGAGGACACAGATCATAATTTCCCGTATTTAAAATATTGTCAAAGTGGTCCTTAAACTTATTCAATATGTCAACCGGATCGGTCAGAATATTGTTATTATCATCCCTAATTCCAGACGTTACGGGCCCTACATATTTACGTGATCTGTTTATACCTTTGTACATGTCTCTTACGTTATTTTCGATTCTATTAGTTTCTATTTCAATTATTTTATTTTTAAGATACTCCCTTTTTTTATTTTTGAGCAATTTTGTCGTTTCGTTCTTTGAGATTCGGAAGTATTCCAGATTGTCTTCGCTAGGATTATTTAGAGCTTTTAATTTAGCGGCTTTTCTTTTTTCACACATGTTTAAGCAATCTTCATCAAACCACGGTTTGTTATTCTTATTTTCCTTTTTTCCTAGACACGAGTTACCGACCGCTTTAATATTATCCCTGATCTCTATCCATAACTTGTCAATATCCTCGTGGTCCTCGTCAGGAAGCTCTAAAGCTTCAAACCTATTCTTAACATCTAGCTCGAATTGGTTTCTAATTGATATAATTACATACCAATTTAAAATATCTGGTGTGTCCACTCACACGACTTTCCTACCTATTTCGGAAAAGTTTTTATATCTTTACATATGTACATGAAGAAACAAAAAAGAATTGAAATAAATTTATTTTCCTGAAAATTGATCAAACAAAAGATTTGAGCACGATTTGATAAACTAAAGCCATGAAACCGGCTTATGGTAGATCAGTGTAAAAATTTCAATACTCTCTAATATTGCTGATTAAAAACTTTTTGCGATAGCTTAGTATTGTCAAATAATAATTTCTGTTAACAGTAGAGGAAATATTGAAGATTGTGTGATGCAGGCAACAGATTTTCTTACTTTCACTTAGTCATCTTTATTCTCTCATTCACCCCTTTCTAATACCAGGAAATGAACTCGTAATCTTTCATTGGAAATTTGGCTTTGTAGGAAATTTCATTACCTTTCAAACGATAAGCTAAAAATGTGTGAAACGTCAGATCCGTCAAAAACCGCATGTCGGAAATTTGCCCCGATTGCAATACTTTCCTTCCCTAGTATAGGTAGGAAATTAATAAGTTAAAAAAATATGTAAAACATAAAATAAGCTGTATCATCGCTAATACTAGTTCGATTCCGATGATTTTTGTTTTGTTTTTAATTTAATTATTTTAATTGGTAATTTAATTACCTTTCAAAAGTTGTATTATAAATTTTACAGTATAATATATGCTTGGGTGTTAGGCCCCGTAACATTTTTCTTTTCTTTATAATTTTTTTTCCTGAATTTTTTCGTGAATTTAGTCTATACACAAATTGAAAATTGAAAGGACAATGATTAGAACATCATAGAAAAGTTTCATCAAAATCGTTAGAGCCGTTTTCGTGCTACAGTCTATAGAAAACCATGTTTTTCATTTATTGCGCGCAAGCTATTGCGCATGGAGCAACGAATTTCTGTCACAGGCATTAGTAGTCAAAACCCTAAAAAATAAAAAAAGAAGCAACAAAATCCGACCAATGGCTAAAAATGTGTTTTTCGGACTCAGGCGGCTGTGAAACGTATAGATCCGTCGAAAACCGCATTTCGAAAACTTGACCCGATTGCAATACTTTCCTTACGTAATATAGTAAGGAAAGTAAAAAATTAAAATCGTATGCACCGAATTGCCCTTGTCCCTTCAATGAACCTTTTAGGAGTTTTAGGTGAAAAATAGATAAAAGACGAAAAAATCTGCCTTTTTTTGTCTATAAAAAGCTTTCTCTTGGTGGTCCGCTTTAGAAATTTTGTTTTTTACACTTTTAAACCCATCTATACAAGTTAAACCTTTTCCTACATTTTTAGCAATTAATTTCCTGTTTCGATCATGAAGTTACTGGTCTAATATTCTTTATCTCAGCCGCCATTTTTTAAAAATATAAATGTTATAAATATAAAAAAAATGATTTTAAAATTTTCTTGGCCCCTGGGACTGCTTTACAAACCCCGAAAATTCCTACACCCTATATACTTCCTCATTATCCATTCCAATCGAACTGACAGATCCTTCAAATGTAATCACAATAATACTTATTCATCCCCCAGCGGAGTATAGAAGGGGGTTTTATGACCCAATTTGCGCCATCAAAATTAGAGAGGTGGGCACTTTTGACGGGGTTTTCAATTTTTGAGGGGGCACGGGGTTATGAATTATCAACATGAAAAGTTTCGAATTATGGATAGAAGTATGAAAAGACAAGTGGAATTATGAAACAGACCACAATGTGGGCGGGGTGGCCGAATGGGCTAACAAGTGTACACTGCACCGTCGTTGCCCGGCAACCTGATACATAAGACTTTGAAAAAACAATAGTCACGAATTCGCGTCCCGGTGTCCGGAGGAGTTTTTAAATCCCCGCCCACACTCCCTGGCCCTTGACAACCCCCGTATAGCCTTAAAGTCGAGAAAGGGGAGGACAGAAAAAAAAAGGAACAGACCACAGGATGTTTAGTGATATATAATCTATGGATATTTAAATTCGCGTAACGTCTAACTTTCGTTTGAACTGTTTTAAGAAGAAGAGAGAAATAAAATATCTTAAGAGGGGTGAAGGCAGGTTTATACGCCATCGGCCTAGGAGGGATGATCATCTCCCCCCTTGGTGTTGATGTTCCTCAAGGTAATATCGTAGGTCCTATACTTTAAGCATTGTATTCAGCTAACATCCAGTGGTGCGGGGTGGCCGAACAATTCTGACACCTTGGACTCTATTTGGACAAAAGTCTAACTTGGAATCCTCACACCAGACTCAAACGACAAGAAACAGCTCGACGTTTCCGACTACTCCAGAACCTACTAGAAAAACGCTCCAAGCTTCCAGTTAATTACAAACGACTCATATACATGACTACAATAAGACCTGTTTGAACTAACGGAGTTGAGCTTTGGGGCTCTAATAAGCCATCGAATTCCTCTCGTATCCAATCTTTACAATCCAAAATCCTTCGTAAAATCCTCAATGCTCCTTACTTTGTCACAAGTAAAATCATCCATAGCGACCTTAATGTACCTTATGTTTCTGGCCTGGCCCAATCCAGATACATATCCTTCCATAACGGACTTCATAATCATCCGAAACCTCTCGTTTTAAACCTTGTTTTCTCCTCGACCACTGATAACCCCCGAGCCGTCTGAAAAGAAGATGACCTTGAGATCTTCTGTTGTAAATACATTTTTAGAGTGCTACCAGTGGATAGGTGGATGGATTATTTTGCAATAGGAGAATGGAATATTACAGGAGCTCAACACTTATGTTGTACCATAAGGACATAATGTAAATATCTATTTTGTATTAGGAGAATAGGAGGTTACAGATGTTCAATATATATGAAATTAAATGAACAGTTGTATAGTTTGAAAAATAATCGCCAGCACTGTCGAGCTTAGAGGACTAATCTGAAAAGTTGAGCTTCTGTAGTCCTTCTACTCTCCTAACACTAAAATAAAATAAAATGTGACAGTCACTAAAAACTTGATTATGTAATCGAGAGATTTATTTCTATTGAGAAAGTCTTATCAATGCTGTTAGGTTCTATCCCGTGTAAGTAGCATTTCTAAATGGGCAAAGCAAGAGAAGTAAATATCGATATACAGTGTGTTTCGTAAATAAAGAGAAGTATTTAAAGAGGTGATAATAGTCATCAAGAGCTACAAAAAAGACCATATTAACCATGGTCCGATTTTTGAGAGTAAAGTTGAGGATTTAGGTTTTGGGTTTTTCTAAATCGTCAGGTTTTTTATAGAATGGGTAATTTATACGGAAATATTTTTTTGTATATTTTCAAGTAATAATTGACAAATGTTAATAAATTGGTGTTTTTTTTTGTGATAAGCAATTTATTAATATTTAATATTAAAGATATTATAAATCAAAAGCTTCAACGCCAATCCTCTACACATTTTTCTTTAGAGATTTAAAATATCGAGGCCCATAGAGGTAGGTATTTTTTTAATATACCGGATTATTAGTTTAGTATATTAAAAAAATATCGATTTGATATACTGGGTTTCTCTTAAGTAAAGGAAAATATTTTTAATATTTAAAGAGGCGATAGTAACCTCACGAGCTAAGCGAGATAAGAGATAAGTCACGTTTTTTATATAATGGGATGTAATAGCTAAAAAAATGTTAAATTTAAGTAATTCATAATTGCTTCGAAATAAACCTGACGAAGTCTATTTCAAACTACAATAGGGTTTGCCAGTGTTGGGATTAACGCGTGTACACAGTACCTTGCGTTGCCCGACAACTTGATAACCGAATCGATTTGCTGTTCTCCGTTTTCATCTTGTTCTTGGTTTGAAACTTTCCATTCCAAAAATTAATGACCTCACCTTAATGTGCCCCCTTCAGGGCACCTCTGCGTAGATATCTTATTATGCATACAATCATGGCCAGCCTATAATGAAATGAAATGAAAATATATTTTATTATTCTGGGACTGTTGTACCTTTAGAACAAATTATAAGTACATAATGCATGTCTGTTTGGTCACAAATTAAATAAATATTTACAACAATATTTAATTAAAAGTAAAAATACAGAAGAAGAGAGAGAAAAGGACAAGAAAAGGACACACAAAGGAAACTAAAATAACAGAAATAAAAAAAAATAGTCTCTGGGGGTACTTAGATAGTTCTCTTAGCTATATTTCGTAATCAGTCGTATTGAGAAAGGAGAAAGTGTTTAAACAGTAGAGGTTTGAAAGAGATTGTGCGTTTCGAATATCATCAGGAATAGAATTCCAGAGGGAGGCGACTTGAATTGCAAATGATTTGTCAAACGCAGCAGTTTGGTGAGGAGGAGGATATAGGTCTGAAGTACGAGAGCTACGGATCTAAGGACGAGATTGGATGGAATATTTAAATTGTAAGCTGTCAAAAATATAGGAAGGTCGATGAGTACTAATGGACTGGTACGGAAAGGTAGCTAGGAAGTACTGACGACGATAGGATGGATAGAGCCACTTCAACTCGGTTTAATACTGGCTAATATGAGTATCTCTTGAGATTCTGAAAACAAAACGTAATGCGCAACTCATTAGGCGTTTATGTTTGGGCTCAAAATACCACCAGAGTCCACCGTACACCATACAGCCATAGTCGAAGTGGGGGTAAACAAGGGAGGAAACTAGGAGTTGACGCGACTTATATTGAAGGAGATTACGTAGACGATTGAAATGTTTTAGAGTGTAGATAGTACGATGGGAAATTTGGGAGATGTGTGGTTTTTAGGAGAGAGTTTGATCAAAAGTAACACCTAAGTTTTTAGCGATAGTATGGAATAAGATAGGCGAGTTGTTCAGGAGAAGATTTGGGGATACTGGGAAGTATTTGAGGAATGATGGGGATCCGATCAAGATGGCTTTCGTCTTCTCGGCGTTGAGAGTGATCCTGTTTGCCCAAGTACTTATTCCATCAATATGTTCTTGAAGTTTTAGAATGGCATCTGAGGAATTTGTAGGATTGAAGGAGAGGTAAATTTGAAATACAGATAATGATGACAGAGCTTGTAGTCTTCATGGAAAAGTCGCGTAAAATATTATTCGGTGTCTTGTAAATATAATTTTATGTCGGGTGCGGATGAATTAATGAAATACGGAAACAATTTATCCAAGTTTTTTTTAATATTTTCGAAAAATCTTTAGGTGTATGAAGACAATCTTGACAAGTTCGGTCCCCATTCACCGCTGACCTTCTGCTACAACCCTTTCTTCAAGATTCTCGTCTTCGGTGCCTTCAAGCTGTGCAGGCTCAAGCTCGGGAGGACTTTCAATAAGGACTACACTGCAGGTTACTGCCACGAGAGGGAGATCACCGTGGCACTGTACAACTACCTCTATGACGTGGTATGTTTTATTAATGGTTCATTCATAACTTAGCTCAATCCTCGTTGGACTAGCTCTCACACCCTTCATATACCCTAGATAATCACTTGCTGCTCGGGATCCGTTATCACCAAGTGGAACGCCTTCACCGGAGAGAAGATGTACAGTTGGATCCGAGCACACGCAGCCGACATCCTCACGGAGACCATTTCCTACGGGATCACATCCGGGACCTTCAACCCGGACCAGTCCTTGCTCGCCACAGGAGCAGTCGATGGGTCTATCAAGATGTGGAACTTCCACACTGGTATCTGCCTCAGGAGGATGGAGCTGTCTCGAGGGTATGTTTGGCACTTTATATTTAGTTTAGGAAATTTAAATAACTCTTAAATACAAAAGAATGATTCTAGTAAAATAAACAATTAGTTGGTCATTTAATACAATAAGGAATTTGTTAAAAACAATGGTCAAAATCACGTTAAATGATGTAGCATTTTTTTAAGTGAAAACTTCTTATGGCGCGTTTTGCACATTTTTGTGGAGAGTTAATTAGATTGAGCCGCCAGATTTCCGATGTGTAACGCTCGGGTAAAGTCGGCTGAAGTCGACTAATTGAAGTGTTTTTGCACATGGATTAAAATATCTCAGAAACTAAAAATCGGACCAGCGTGTTGTAAGCGAGGGAATTGTTCAGCATTTCATTCTCTTTGTAATGAGCTATTATTCAAAATTGTATATTGACGTGACCTTATTAAAGAGGCAAAAGAAAAATATGTAGTCAAAAACCAAATCATAACGAATTTCCTTCAACTTTCGGTCTAATTGAACGAGCTGTTTTCAAAATAATACGTTTTCAGATTCGAAAGCGGAAGTATTTTCTGAAAGTAGGGGATGGAATTTTCTGAAATGAACATCTATTTGAATATCTGTTTACCAATCCCTAACTTCCCTCCAAACTTGAGCCAAATCGACATGTTCGGATTTTAAGATATACACATATCACGAAAAATACTATGATTGATTTTTAAGAAAAAAACAGTTGACGAAATGCAATGAAATTGATACCAACATCTGTCTTTCTTTCAACTTTGTGTCAAATTGAACAAGCTGTTTCTGAAATATTGATATAGCTAAGAAAATGCAGTTGCGCACGCGCTTAAGTGGACATTTTGGATGGAATTTGATTAAATTGATATGTGACAATCTAGACACCAATCCGCACATTACCTGAAAATTTCATGAAAATCAGATAAACAGTATTAGATGATAAGCCCGTTTCATCGATGTGATTAAGGACATATGCCGAACTGACTTTATCCTTGATGTCTTGGAATGTAAAGTGGAATTTTTCGATTCTAAGAACAAAAATTTTTTTAATCTCCCGCACGAATACAAAGCTTCCCTTCATTCGGTAGCTAGGAAGAAAAAGTCAGCCAAGTAAGGCCAATATATAGCTTCTTTGTCGTTATCATTGGCTAACAATTATCTATATTATAAGGTCTAAAATTTTTCGTATGAGAATAAAATCTCTGAGAGAAGCCGTTTTCGGAAATTCAATAATCAAACAACAAACCTCAATAAACTAACATTGAAATCGGTGAAGACAAAAGCCATCCTGATCGTGTCTCCCTTATCCCGTACGTACCTCCCTTATCCCGTACGTACCTCCCTTATCCCATACGTACCTCCCTTATCCCGTACATACCTCCCTTATCCCGTACGCACCTCTCAATCTTCTCCTGAACAGCTCACCTATCTCGTTCCATTCCACCGTTAAAAACCTTGGCGTTACCTTCTTTCAAACTCTCTTCTGGAAACCACAAAAGTACAATTTCTACCCTGAAACAGTTTAATCATCTAAGCTATCTCCTTCCACTCAAAACTCGTCAATTCATGGTGTCATCTCTTGTTTATCCCCACATCGACTATGGCTGTATGGTGCATGGTGGACTCTCGGGAGAACTCAAAGCTAAATCTAAACGTCTAATGAATTTCTCAATGGGCTTTATCTTTGGGATCTCAATGGATACGCATATTACCCAGCATTACACCGAGTTGAATTGGTTTCACCCGTCCTACCACCGTCAGTATTTCCTTGCTACTTTTCTGTACCAGTTCATTAGAACTCGGCGACCCTCTTATATTCTACAGATCCTACAATTCAAATCCTCCATTCAATCCCGTCCCGCCAGATCCCGTACGTCCGACCTCTATCCTCCTCCATATCGAACTGCTGCGTTTGACAAACCCTTTTTAGCTCAAGCCGGTCTCCCTCTGGAATTCTATCCCTTCCGATACGCAAAGTCAGTATCCTCTTTCAAAGCTCTCCTCTTCAATCACCTATTCTATTCCCAATCTGGTTGATCATGAAATACACTTAAAAATCTAACTTGTAAGACTCTCAAACTATCCCCAGATACTTTGCTTATTTTTTGATATATTGATATTGTGTTTATTTATTTTACTTTTCTCTGTTTATTTCATATTTATATAATTTTATATATTTTCATTATCTTTACCTTTATTTTATTACCAATCATCTTGTAAATATTTTATGTACACACCAACATGTTAATTTATATTGTGTATCTATAATCTGTTCTAAAGGGACAATATTTCCAAAATAATGAATTTTTTAAAATTTCATATACGGGTATGACATCCACGAGTTTGTTCATCAGCGAATACTAAAATGCATAAGAGTTCCGCATTTGCATGCGAACTTTTACATTAATAGTAGTGATATATATTTAATATATATGATTTTACTCGTAAAACGGATCGAACAAAAATCCGCAGGAAAAATTCAACTTGTTGTTTGTTCGGAGTTAACGAGACCAATAATTTTCTTCAGCCCGAACAAAACTAATTAAGCAGGAATATAAAAATATTCAAATAACTTTGATACTTAAGGAGAATATCGAGACAATGATGAGCTAGTTGAACTTCATAAGAAATAAACATACTCACAAATAAGACTTTTTTATTTTTATGAACTTGGAGTAAAAAATTAATTTAAATTTATTGAAAAATACACAAAAGCTAAGTAACGGCAGTAAATGTCATGGTTACTGGCATGACTTTTACTGCAGTCAGATGTCATTTTATACTGTGCTGTTTGGTCAATTCCAATTGTTACTGGTACGACACTTACTGCCATTACTCAGATTTCTCTTTATTTTCAGTACATTTAAATCAATTTTTAGTATGACTTTTTTTTAAAAATGTTTTATTTGTGTTTGTGAGCCAGCTCGTCTTGGTATCTATTTTTTCCTTTAAGATCAAAATTGTGTGAACTTCATTCATAATTTTATATTCCAGATTAATTAGTATTGTTCTGATTGAAGAAAAGTATTGGTCTCCCTAACTCCGAATAAAATAAAAGTTGAATTTTTTATGTGGATTTTTTGTTCCATGCATTTTACATGTGAAAAATCCCCATTAAGTATATACATCTACTGTTCGTGCAATAGGACGTATGTAAAAATATTCAATTTTTACTATATTTGTGCTAAAGTTGACATTTTGTATTCCGCAACTGATATAAGTGGTCTGCTACTATGGGAGATAGCATATGACAATAAAATATGAAATTATACTAATAAAGCATATAGACATAATTAGTTTTTATGCTTTCCTATAAAACACTCAATTTGGATTGGGCAAAATTGGAAACATATGGAACATTCAGGTTTTTATGAATTATTTTATTTGTGACAAAGTAAGGAGCATTGAGGAGTTTACGAAGGATTTTGGATTGTAAGGATTGAATACGAGAGGAATTCGATGGTTTAGTGGAGCCTCATAGCTCAATTCAGTAAGTCCAAATAGGCCCTATTATAGTCATGTATATGAGTCTTTTGTAATTAATTGGAAGTCTTGAGCGTTTGTCTAGTAAGTGTTGGAGTAAGCGGAAATGTCGAGCAGTTTTTTGTCGTTTCAGTCTGGTATGAGGATTCCAAGTGGGACGGTTGTCCAGTTGGAGTTGTTCAATAGTGATAAGTGGATATTTATTAAAGGATACTGTCGGACAGGAAGTCATAGGTTTATTATGATGGAAAAGGGTGATTTGTTGATATTTATTTTAATCTTCCAGTTTTGACACCATTCTTCAAGGTTTGTGATGTGTGATTGGTGAGTTTGTGATGTAATTAATGGAGCGTTATAAACTGATAGGTCAAATGTGTCATCGGCATTGGTGTTGATGACAGTGTTAGGATTGGGTGGGATATATGTTGTATAAACTGTGTAAAGAATAGGGCCGAGAATAGTACCTTGAGGAACACTTTTAGATTGAGAAAAGAGGGATGAATAGGCATTATTGTGATATATAGCATTTCCAAGTCAATTTCAACCTTTTTCAAGTCAAATTCAACCTTCTTTTATTTATTTAATTATTTTTAATTTTTCGATGTGTAGGTCTGTTATCATAAGATTAGTTTTTGAAAATAACCCCCATTTTAAGATTACGTGCCTGCGTTTCGAATTATTTAAGTTATTATTATTTATTCGATATAAGGGTGTATTTTTATGTTTCCCGATCCGAAAATTTTGAAAATGGACTCCATTTTATGTTTTTAGCCACTGTGTTTTGACTTATTTAAGCTTTTAAAATTTACCCAATATAAAGGTCTTTTTTTATGTTTCCGGAGCCGTAGATTTTGAAAACGACTTCCATTTTAAGATTAGGCCACAGCGTTTCGATTTATTTAAGTTTTTCGAATTTATCCAATATAAAGGTCTACTTTTATGTTTCTTGAACCGGAGATTTTGAAAATGACCTCCATTTTATGATTACGCCGCTGCGTGTTAACTTATTTAAGTTTTTCAAATTTATCCAATTTAAAGTTCTACTTTTATATTTCGAGCGCCGTAGATGTTCATAATTACCTCCATTTGATGATAAAGCCATTGCATTTTGACTTATTTAAGTTTTTCGAATTTATCCAATTTATAGGTCTACTTTTATGTTTTCGGAAGCGTAGATTCTGAAAATGACCTCTATTTTATGATTACGCCACTGCGTTTTAACTTATTTAAGTTTTTCGTATTCATCAAATATAAAGGTCTACTTTTATGTTTCTGGAGCAGGAGATTTTTAAAATGACCCCATTTTAAGTTTATGCCGTTTTGGATTATAAAAGTTTTTTTTTAAATTTTCGGTATATGTTATCGGATCTACTTATATGTTATCGGAGACGTATTGAAGTTTTTCTAATCTTTAATATTTAAATTTATCTAATATTTAATCTCCATTTTATGATTTAATCCTTTGTATCTCGATTAATTAGGCTTCATTTTTGATTTTTTCAATACAAAGTTTCATCAATATGTTTTCGAG